AAAATGGATTAAAAACGATTGGACATTCAGAAGGCACTAAATAAGGAAAAAGAAAGACTGGGAGTCACTGTGGAGCTACTCGTGTATAATTTATAATCATGGAGAGGAACTTTTGTAGAGGCATGGATAGTTTCACAGAGATTTTAGTCAAAAATCTGTTTTTATCCAATCATAAAAGTCTAATGGTAGCAGCTCTAGATCCAACTAATCATCTAAAATCCTTCCTTCTTAGTGAATAACCCTAATAAGACTTTTAATCTGTCACTGTGTTTTCTCATCACAGGAGTGTTTTTTTTTCTTGAGAATTTACTTTCTAAGAATATTTCAGGCTCTTCAGACTCATAACCAATTCCACCAGTTTGGAAACACTGACAATTGAAATGGCTCCAGACACAACAGCAGGATTCATTTTATACATGGTGAAATTGGTTCATCGCCAGCTTAAAATCACACTTCTAAAAGTCACTTTACCTTTAAACAGCTAATGTTTGGACAGTTTCACTATTTTCCATCAGGTTTCACAAGTTTCTGTGACCAAAAATAAAATGTTACAAAAACCAAAACATGCATGAAGGTTGAAATCAGCTCAAACTGCTGTTCATGAAGGAAACATGAAAATCTGACAGAATCACAAGAGTGACCTTAGAAAAATTGTTTTCAAAACAATCAGACATCATCAAGCTTTTTTTTTTTTTTTTTACCTACTTGCTACCATCAGTCAGTCTATTTGAGCCTCTGAATTAAAGTGTGTGTGAGTCCGAGGCTGAGCAGCTGCAGGGTGGACAGCTGGGTTAAGTTAGGGAATGTTTTCAGCAGTTTCTCCCAGGTCATTTCCAGCAGACTGGGCACCACCAGCCACACTTTATACAGAGACGCAGTCCGCTGGTTGCCAGACATGTTGACAACCCCGCCGTGGACGTACATACAACCTGCCTGAAGGAGAAGACCAGGAAACAACATTGAATATGGGACTTCCCTTAAAGGTGCATTATGTAGAAATAAAGTAAAAATGACATTCTGTGGTAAAACGTTACTAGAACCACTTTAAACAACTCTGGAGCTTTCTACTGGCCAATCGTCAAATTACAGTTGTTGGCGCTGCAGTATTAGCTCGCAGGAGACATGGCGACCCCACACTCACTAATGGTAAACAGTAGTTACATCCCTCACTGTGTTTTAAAAGAAGAAAAACTGACAATCCCCGCAGCCAGCTGGACGTGTAATATGTTTCACTATAACCTTCCTTCCAAAATGACTGAAACATTATACTCTTTTGGGATTTGCTCACTGTAAAATTCTCACTATATTCTTACAAACTGCACCTTTAATAAGTGATTTTTCTGTACAGAACAGAATTCTGCTTTTCAAATGTGAAAAAAAAGTATTTTTATTTAATTTCTTGTGTCAGTTTTCAATATTAGTATCATTTTATTAATATTATTTAGCACCAAGAATGATTTGGTCATGTTTTACCCAATATTTTTAATCTAAATACAGTGTTTTATCTTTATAGAATGCTTTTAACATAAATCAAAACTTCCAAACCCCGCTCCTGGCTTTTAAACATGACTGCTTCAATATTTTATAGGCGTTTACCACTGTTGGGCAAGTTACTTCAAAACTGTAATGCATTATTTATTACTTGATACCCTCATTTTAAAGTAATTCATTAAATTACAATATTACTGATTTTAAAATGTAAGGTATTACACTACTTTTGCATTACTTTAAGTTACTTTCACCAAAACAACTTCAATATGAATCTGGTAATCTGACGCTCAGTGAGCTCATGACATAGATGTGGAAAGTGATGTGGTGTCTGAGCTAGGGTTGCTGTTAAAAACAGCCAGATATAATAACAGTGCTTTAAAATGATTGTTTATTAAATAAAAGCAACAACAATCTGTACTCTCAGCACGCTGCCATCTTATATTAACTGAGCAGGGAGTGGGGTGGTGGGGGCTCCAAGCCTATATTTGCTTTGGTCCCCAAATGCCTTGATACGGCCCTGGATGAGGGACGGACTTCTGGGGTGATCTGATTCTATCACATGTATAAATATTAAATGCTTATATATTACTGCTTCTCACTGGTAAAAATGTCTATTGGAGATAAATCTACCTACTTTTTTTTCTTTTCAAGCACTTTGTTTTGTTTTCTTGATTTTATTTGAATAATTTCTTGCCCTTTCTCTCTCTAACCTTCCTGCATGCTGCATGTTTTCTCCGTCTTCCAGAAAAACTGTTTCCTAGATTTCCTACTTTCTAACTAATCAGCCAAAGGGATCTACCGAACGCAAAAAAACAAACAAAAAAAAAACCTTGACATGCGCTGCGCTCCAGCAGCAATGAGTTGAAATTACCGGCGCACAGATTATGAACTCAGCTGAAAAGTACATGAAGTACCAGAGAACATGGGCTGATAACATGGGAGAAAAGTTGTCTTCTGCAGCCTTCAGAGAGTACAGACGCTTTTTTCTCAGCTCCCTTATCGGCTTCCCCAAGGCTCTTGTCCTGTCTGCCTACAGAGCACTTCTCTGCATTTCTCCTGAAACCACTACTCTTTTTTGGAAATATGGACTTAATTAACTGGTCATTCAACGCGACTGACAAAATTTTTTCTACAATGAGAATGGAGAAGGGGGCTCCCACCTGTCCCGAGGGGACAATCGCATCGGGATATGCACTCGATTCTTGGGAGGTCTGGCGAATCGTGTGCCTCTCTCAGCTGTCCATCGAGGACGTGGAAGATTTGTGGATGTTCGGCCTGATGATCACTGGATTTCTTCTGATTGGAGTGGGAGGATATCTGGTTTTCTGGAAATTTGGGAAGACGGGAGCGATTGGAGTGCGACCCGTGCCCACAGAATGTGCCGCTCGGGCGGTGACCTCACAGACTGGGACGTTACTTGAGGTGAACCGTAAGCTGGACAATGTCCTCGCGGCATTGCCTGTGATAGTACGCAAGATGGATTTGATCTCGGAGAGGGTCGCCGGACGATGCAGGGATGTTTAGAATGTAAAATTGGCTTCACTGGTGGACATGAATGACCACTTAGAGACTCCAAGGCGGAGAGGAAAATTATCTCTGCCTGCCCTAAACAAAGTCATGTTTATCCTTATCTGACGCCATAGCAGCCTCTCAAGGCTGCCTCAACACACCCCCACGAAAGGAGGAATGCCGACAGATGCTGTGTCCCGACCTTCACCCTCTTCCTTCAGACTGACATGTCTGCGGGAACTTCAATGTGCTCTCTGGTCCTTATCTCTCCCTCCCACCTATTGGTCTGCAGCTGGTCGATGCGCCGCAGTGGCAGCTCCCATTGGAGGCTTCAGGATCCCGCCCAACCCTGCCTCCCCATCGGACTCTGATGTTGTATCTGTGCTGTTTTGTGCTTCCATGTTGAAAGGAGTTCTTTTGTATAATAGAGTTACTCCCCGCTGGGGCTAACTCTGCTATGCCTTTTTTTACCTACCCCCACTTATCCTCATGTAACACCCTTTTCATCTATCTATTAAGGTAGCGCGACTCATGTTGCGAATGACCGCAGTCACCAATTCTTGTTATGTGTCTTACCCACGTATGTCTGATCTTTGAATTGTGTGTGCTGAAACTGAATTTCATTTCTCTGTATGTCCTGCACATGTGGTAGAAAATGACAATAAATGACTTTGACTTTGATATAAACGATCGCAAACGAATAACTTTGTTTTGGTGGAGTGATTTTGTGAATATAACAGCGGCCGCGCGCAGGACGCAGCTGGAGTATTTGAACCATTACCGCTGCGTCCTCTCTGCTCGTAGAATGCCCGCAAAGCTGAGTCCATAAATGACGTAACATATGTAGATACTGGATCTTTTTTCAGGCTTCCCGCAATTTGAATTTTTAGGAAACCCACATCTTGATTCTGGGTTTAAAAATGCATTGTAATTACCGCGTTACTGACAATTGTACCGAGTAAATATTACCATTTTCTGTCCCTGTAATGCCTTACATTACCACATTACAGCAAAAAGCAATGCATTATAGTAATTCATTACTTTTGTACCGCGTTACTCCCAACACTGGCGTTTACTGACCGGAGTGACCGCTGCACAGTGAAAGTAGGCTGGTTCTGGCATGACGGCAGGAAGCTTCGTCCACTGGAAAGTCTGAAGGTTTATCTTCCACAGGTCGGACAGTATCAGTCCTCCGTTATAGCCTCCACATATAAAAACCTCTGTGCAAAAAACAAGACATTAGGAGTAAAATCCAACATTACCGTGTCCAGTTGATGCGTGAGAACACCACCTACCATCTTTGAACTGAACACAGCTGTGACACCTACGGGCCGCAGGGTATCCTGGGACAAGACACGTTTATTTCATTGCGTGATTTGGTCCTAGAAATAACTAAATAGTATCTAAAGAGGATTAACATACCTATTTTCTCAAAAGGTTTAGTAACAATTTCTTCCCAGTAATTGGTCTCCAAGTTATATGCATGAATCTGAGTGATAAAAACATTTTAATAAAAAGCAGCAGCTTTTGATAAGCAACATATAAGTTCCTTATACTTACTTTATCCAGTGGATACGATATCCAAGAAGTTCCTCCTCCTAAAATGTATATTTTCTGTCCGTCATGAGCCAGCTCATGTCTGTACCTGTACAATAATGTTCAATATCGTCAGTCACCCGCTGAACACACATTTGAATAGAAATTATGGAATCTAGCATCCTCTCCAAAGCCTGACCTCTCCTCAGGGAGATCTGATGGTTTGTTGTTGGGTTTAAGGTGGGTCCACTCTCGGGTGGTCAGATCCAGCCGGTGCAGGTCGGTGCTGTACAGGTAGCCAGTTGTCCCTCCAAACACATACAGGTAGCCGTTTATGATAGCCATCGCCTGGAAGAAGAGGTCACAGATGAGTCGACAGTATAGTGGTACACACCTCAGATCCTCAGAAACACACATTACCTGTCCGTAGATCTTATTGGGTTTCTTCCCTCTGCAGCTGAGCAGGTTCCATCGTCTGTATTGAACATTGCAGACGTGGGCGTCATTACTGTTGTTTTCACCGAAAGGAATCCCGGTTCCACCAAAAACAATCAGGTTGTTCCCGTGTAAGACAGCTAGGAGACATAACCTTTGTTAAACTTTGCAATGGTGGCATATCCTGGTCCTCAAAGGCAACCATCTAGAATATTTTAGCTACTACTCATTTTGTTTTATTTCAAACATGCAGCATTGTACAACGTGAACGAAAAGGACCACACAAAAAAGCAAAAGCATAATAACTAAATAAAGGTATTCTACTAATCTGCATCTTTCTTACAACCTACTTTAAGCCACATGCTCAAAAAGGTGTAGGAAGTACATACTTAAAAACTCCCACCCCTTTTCCACAGATCATAACTTATCCAGCTAGTTACATAATATTACATCTCACTCAAAACACAATCACATTATTATGTCTGCATTTCATGTTTAAAGAGCAAGTCACCCCCTAATCAACTTTTTTGCTGAAACTACAAAGGAGTGTCTAATCGTGCTGTAGACACATGTAGTCAATAATTTGGCACTTTAATGCATCTTAGTTAAAATTTAAATATTCTATCTAAAACTGTCAGTGTTGCACCCTCTTCAGGTAAAAACTCTGCACTGCGTTTTAATTTAAAGAGGGACTGCACACCATCAGAAAACGTAACTCCAACCCTAGTCAAGATTTGAAAAATGCCATGAAGGTGGGCGTTACCAGGAGGCACAGAGTGGCATGGCCAAGTATGGGGAATTTCCATCCTGGGAGGAAAACACACGTTTAAAATGCAGTAGCCACTGTTCTGCCACAGGGGCAGCACTAAGACGTTTTTAAGACCTAGATTCTAGATTTAATCAAGTTTACACAAACATGTCAAAAAAATGCACAGAAACAGAAAGATTGCATTTGTAAAGACCCAATTATACAGTTAACTAGCAAAAAAAGGTGATTTTGGGGTTTAGTTACTCTTTAAATCTGTCATTTCTAATGGCTAAGAATTATCCTATGACGTCAGCTGGTTCCATCAGATTTCACGTCATTGTGAGCCTGTGTTTGTGTGTATTCATTAGCAGCTCCGCCCTCTCGGTCTGTCAGGCAACAGCATTTGTTGCATTTTTTAAGCAGGAAGTGGGAGTGGAGTAAGATTCTGGTAGATTCAACTTTTTTTGCTGATAAACTATATAAATGCGTGTCTAATCGTGCTGCAGACATGTGTAGTCAATAGTTGTGCACTTTAGTGCATTTTAGTTAAAATTTTAAGTTTCTGCCTAAAACAGTTGTTCCGTTGTCAGGTAAAAAATCTGCACTACATTTGAATTTAAATCTGCCATCGCTATTGGCTAAGAGGTACCCTATGACGTCAGCTGGTACCATATGATGTCACAACGTCGTTGTGAGCCTGTGTGTTTGTTAGCGGCTCTGTCCTCTTGGTCTGCTAGGCAACAGCATTTGTTGCATTTTTCAAACAGGAAGTGGGAGTGGAGTAATACTCTGGTAGGGGGTGACTTGTCCTTTAAACATTCTGCTTAAAATTGTCAAGCCAGGGGCACAATGGAGGCAGACGCGCCGTGCCGTCATTTTAACTAGAAGCCATTAAAGTTAATGAGAGTGGGCACACGGGGAGCGGCGCGCCTAGGTGCTGAAGATTGGCACCAGTTGTATCTCAAGCGCCGCTGTTCATGTCATCGTGGAGTACTTTACAACAGACAATACGATGCAGAACGGCTTTATGACACAAACTAAACCGCCAGCACAAACCCAGCCGCAGTTTTGATAACTTTAGAGTAAACATTGATCTTAAAATATTCAAATAAATAGCGTATTTATCCATTATTTATTTACTCAAGTCTCGCAAGACATGACAGCAAGTCTGATCATGTATAAACAATAGTCACTTCCCCCTTTTGGTTCTCATGTCCTGCGTGATGTAGGGATGGGTACCTTTGACATTTGAATCGATTCGGTACTAATTCCCGGTACCTAGGAATCGATACGGGTACTTAACTGTACCAATTTGATACTTTTGAGTGTTTATTACTTTAATTATTTTATAATTATATATTTTTTCTCAATATATAACAATATTTGATAAATATCACGATAAATAACGTTCAACTGTTTGTATTTTAACATTGTCCTTGTAGTTTTATAAGCTGATAATTAAACTGACATCTTTACTGTGAACTAAATTTACTGTGTATCTTCATTCCTTTTGCCTCTTTTTCATTAGATTTTTCCTACTGGGAAGTTAGAATTTCCGAGGAGAAAGCGAACGCACCATTAGCTGATAACAATGGTGGCAATGGAAGCTAACATATCAAGCTAACGTTATGTTAAACAGTTTATTTAACTGCTGGAGCAGATTAAAACGATGATGCCTCACACTTAGATCGTTGTCGCTGGTTTCATCTTCACCCAATCACCCGTCGCATTTAGTAAAGTGAAGCCAAACTTTAGAGCGCGTTCATGTTCTTCTTGTCGGAAATTCGGAGTTCCGAGGAGAAAGCGAACGCACCATTAGCGAAACGGAAGCTAACATATCAAGCTAACGTTATCTTAAACATTTTATTTACCTACCGGAGCAGATTAAGATGAGGATGTCTCAGTTTGTTGTCGCTGGTTTCATCATCACCCAGTTACCCATCACATTTAGTGAAGTGGACCCAAGCTTTAGCGTGCGTTCCTTCTACCATGCTGCTCTGTTTACAACTGGCTCGCAGCGAGTGACGACATAACGCTCTTGCGCATGCACAGCGGTCTTGGCAAGTTTTCGTTATGAAGGACGGGTACCGAAACGAGGCACCGTTTCAAATGACGTGAATCGGTGCTCAGTCAGTACTGTGGAATTCGGTCGGTACCTTAAAAAGTACCGAATTCTGTACCCATCCCTAGTGATGCGACTATCGTGCAACCTTCCAAGAAGCGCTCAGTGGAGCGGCGCGTCCTATGTGACCACTAATGTCAGGCACAATGCTGCGCAGCGCGTCTGCTTCTGGTGTGCCCCAGGCTTCAGAGTTGCACCTCCTTCAAGGAAAAATCTCTGCCCTACATTTAAATTTAAATCTGCCATCAATATCGGCCAGCTATGACGTTAGCTGGTACCATATGATGTCACAATGCCGCTGTGAGCCTGTGTGTGTTTGTTAGCCGCCCTCTCGGTCTCCCAGGCAACGTCTCCTTGTGGTGCATTTTTCAAACAATGGGAGTGGAGTTAGACTCTGGAAGAGGATGACTTGCTCTTTAATCACAGAGCTAGTCAATTAACCATCGATTTAAATCAGGTGTGATGGAGCAAAGAAACATCTAAAACATGCAGGATAGAAGCCCTTGAGGATTGAAATTAGACATTACTTCTCAAGAGTCTTGCATTTAGCTAACAGATTGTTGACGTTTTACTGCAATATTGTTAACATTAAGAAATTATTAAAACTTATTGTACTAGAACAAATGTTCTCTGTGCTGTGGATAACAAACATATGCATTGTAAAATATTGAGAGAATAAGAAGGCAATAAAGGAGGAAGAATTGACCATTACATTGCAAAAAAAAAAAAAAAGCACAAAAAGGTCAGCTGCCAATACTTTTTTTTTTTTTTTTTTTTTTTTTTTTACAAAAGAGGATCTATTAGTTCTTACCAGACATGGACGCCAACTCTGTTGGCATGTAGCCTTCTGTGCGAACCTGCTGCCACGTGGATGTGGCAAAGTGAAACCGCCAAAGCTCCCTGAAAAGAGGGTAGTCTTCATTTTCTGACCCGCCTGCCTCCTCAAAGTCAGGGTTGTATCCTCCAAACACATACAAGTTAGTGTTGTCTGCAACACAGCGGTGTCCACTGCGGGCAGGCGGTATACAGTGTCCTGTGGACAGAAGTGAAACAGAACCATCTCACTTCACAACATGCAGAAATGCTCATTGAATTCCTGGTTAATTGTTGCTCACTGGTCTCCTTTGCATAAGTTTCACTACCTTCTCTGAGAAACCTGTTAGGGATCCGCAGGTTGGGGCAGCTGGGCGAGAAGATTCGTCGAGCCTGAAGCCACCGAGCTCGTTTCTTGTTGCCTGAAAATGAAACAAAGTCAGAAAATCAGTCGAGGTTGAGGATAAAAGCTACAAACCAATACAATCTCAGCTTAATAAGGCACTGTATAAAATATAAAATCAATAATTAATCAGCAGAAACTAATATGGAACTAGACTTTACCATCTTACACATTTGTTTCAGATGTTGTATAATAATATTCACCACTTTAATCAGAGTAAATCTGTTGTAAAAGGTTTAAACACTTATATTATTCCTTATTGATAAAATTTTAAATATTTTCATGTTTGCAGCATCGACATGATCGTTCTCCCCTGTGTATTATTTCACAACACTGCTACATTTTGATATCTATCTGCAGTAATTTAAATACCGAAAACACTGATAACACAAGCATTATCACTTCCGTAGCACCCTAAGCTAACATTAGCATTTATGCGGCGGCGACCAACGTTATCTGTTCATCAAGCTACAAAAACAAAACAATGCGGGCTCACTTAGATATAAAAGCGATGCTATAAAAATACAAGTCTCCCATTTAGCTTTGCTGTCTGCGTGACGATAAAAATACTTGTTGCGTTAGAAGCTGGTTTTGTTTACAAACCTGAGTCGCGGACGGAGGGCCTCCACGACAGTTTCTCAAACGTATTAACGTGGCTGAAGGTTCCATCAGGTTCTGGCGTCAACATTTTTACACACAGACAAGCTTCACGCTGAGAGCTGGACGAGAGCCCGTTTTAGTCTGATCAGAGCATTGAATAACAACGCCAGTTCACCAACAACAGAAATGTTTCGACCATCGGTTTCGACCCTTGGAGTCTTAAACTTCACATGACGTAAAGTCCAGGTGGTCTAAACGAACCAATCAGAGGGAAGAAACGCTGACGTTGCTTTCATGTACAAGTGAGCACGTGGGAAACACCTCGTTCTTCATCATTACTTGTCTCTAAAACACATTTTGATTCCAATACACCGTAAAACAATTCACAGATAAAGTCACACCCTTAGGAAAAAAAAGCCAGTTCTTGTTCATTCATTTTCCATGCACACATATTTAAATTTTCTATATGATAGTTTGCATCAAGATGCACATTTATTACTTCACCATGCAGCATTTGGCGTCTACAACTATTTGATGCTATAACAACTACTACTGCTATCACTACTAAGTCTACTACTACTATTACTACTAAAAATAATAATAGAAGTTAACCCAAAGTACTTACACATAAACATGAAGTATTTAGTTATTTTCTTTCTAAATATGGAAAAACTTTTGTGTAAAACTTAAAGCAATGCATTCGAGCCAGTCAGGTGACTTCTTTTCACAACAAATTTGAAACATCACCTTTTCCTTAGGTCATCTAGACCTGCTTTTCTGACATGTTGTAATTTGTATTTGAGTTGAAGCTCATTTGGAGGAGTTGGAGGAAGAAAGCATTACAAATGAGACAATCCCATGAAAGGTTGTGTTTGGTTAACACAGTTGGGTTATTTGAAAATTGTGCAAATTGCATTTGGGAGAAGGTTGAATAAAGCCTTTCATTTTGTTGCCACATAACTTTTCATGCTCAGATCAGTCAATAAAATGCTCCAATTACAATGGGACACCTTCACCAGCTCAATAAATATATCTTTGCTCTGAGGATCCTGGTTAAACTCCTCAGATCGGCCACCATAAAACAACAACAACAAAGCTAGTCTCTAAATGCAGTGCACTTACGTGGATTTTGTTGGACACAAATGTTGCGTTCCAAATGTAAAGTTGACCATGACTTTCAGGCATTTTAAACAAAAAACACATGTGTAGAAATGAACTCCCAGTGTGTCAAAAACCACTGTACAGCAGCATAAAATGAGAACGTAGTTTTAACTGAAGGTCAACCCAAAACATTTTAATTACACACTGCCAGATTTCAGCTTTGTTCAGTTTGCTTTAAGATTTTAGTCTCTGGTGTTTTTGTTCCACCAAGATAGAACATAAACCACCAAGAAAATATACAGTGTTTAGTGTCTTTAAAAGTGTAGGATTCAGACTCACTGTAATAGCATTTAAAAAAAAACACTGAGAAAACAGAAGATGTGCAGCTTGTGTGCAAAAGATAATGAAGCCCTATTTGTCAAATGGCAATTTAGAAATAAAAAGCAAGAAACGTATTGAGTTTTTCTTTGTTAATTCACACAACCTAATTATTGTCATTTTTTTAAAAGAAACTAAATGATGATAGTGAATCTAATGGTGTTTCTGCAGAACTTGGCCATAAAAGATATTTATAAACACCTGTAAGATCTTCTATACAATTTTGCAGTCTGCACTTCTCAGATTGCAAGGTCTTGCATCTTATTGCAGTTTTATTTACTATTGTCATTTACACACACACACACACACACACACACACACACACACACACACACACACACGCACGCACGCACGCACGCACGCACGCACACACACACATTGTAAATGGAACATATCTGCATTCTTCAAGATGAAAACCAGAGTAAGGGATATGCCCCATCTTTTTCTATAACTATTCATGTTTATGAGTCATATCCGTCACGTGACATAACTTGTTTAATCTGGCTTTTTTTCCGGGGCCCTAATGAAGGGAGTGGATGTAGATAAAATAGAGGAGCCACACGATTTCTATTAGAAAAATTTTAGAGTATTATTTTTTTCAACAAGCATAAGGGTGTTTGGATGTCAAATTAGAGTCGTTTTTTGTATTTTTGCAGAAGTGCCAGTAGCAGTCTCGCTGGAGTTCCTGGTTTGCTGACAGCGTTGCAGCTTTTGGAGTGTAATTGTGTGTCTGAACTCCTCCTCTGGTCGGTCTGGTCGCTGGAGGTTGAAGTCACTGGCAGGCAGTCTTCAGGACAGGACACAACTAGGTAAAGCTGGCCAGGAGACGCTCAAGAGGAAAAGAAGGCCATGTTGCAGCTAAGATCTCGCTTGTGGACGTTGAGGGAAGCCTGCTGATACAGTCCAGCGGGCTTGTAGGTATTGTCAAGCTGAAAGGTTAAAGTAGCGTCATTATTTTTAGATCACTTCTGTTTGAGGTACACAAAAATGTCGTCTCCAAGTCCGGGAAAGAGGCGAATGGACACTGACGTGGTGAAACTGTATCCTTTATAGCTTACCAAAAAATACCAAGAGACAAATGACACATCTTTTAAGGAAAAGAATCAGCTGTTTTATGGTGGTTTGTTACATAATTTGTTTCTGGTGGCTGCTGTCTATTCATTCTAAGTGTGAATACTTTGGCGTTAATGTCTATGATGACTGTAGCGTCAGCCAGTTAGCAGAACGGTGACAAAAAAAGCCCCAAGTAGGCGTTTTTCATCGAAACTCCCTTAGCATTAGCTTAGCTCTGTTCGTGCTGTTTGTATCAATAGCAAATTAGCAACGGAAACTATGGGTGGGTTCCTTAACCGTTCACCGGTGCATGACCCGGCTAGAAGGGAATGACAACTGGCAAGGGAGGAGTTTACTTTGGCATTCCGTGACTGCTACGCAGCTGGAAATCGAGTTCAAACTCTATATACATGGTGCACCATGTTGTGCGCCGTGACATAAACGGTGCTGACCCTGTTGCAATACAATGCTGGCTGTTAACTCTGTTAGCTTTGAACATTAGCCTAAGCTTGAAACCGTCAACTCGATTATCAAATATATCTTCCCACTCTTACTGACAACACGCTGTAAAGTGTAACGAAATGGCGTTTTACTTAATAGACACTTTTTTGAAAAGACACAAGCGCCAATTGTTGATTATGTAGCGTTTCAGGCTGCAGTAGCTAGCTATTTAGCTTGCTACAGAACAATTGGGCTGCTCAAGAGTCGATCTTTGGTAAACTCGAAAGTGCATTCATTGAACAAATGATCAATATCTTATCACTCCTTGGTTATTTTGTACTTAAAGTTCTCGAATGCAAACAATTATTCCAAGAGCAAGAGAACGAATCTATTTCTTTATTCCACTGCAAAGAAGTCACGGTTGGTGTATTCATCACGAATAGTACAATTAATAATAATATGACAGATTTAAAACAGAAATGTTTAATCATCTTATATCATCGTAAAATTAACATGGATTGAGCACAATTGTGTTTCAAAATAGCTTCTAACACCAATATTCTCTTTTGAGGCGTTATCATTCCATATCATGTTTTTGTTTGTTACAGTAGTCCAGAATATAGTTTTTTTATTTAAATGTTCATGAATCAGATGAAGTTTTCTTGCATGAAAGGTTTCCTGACAGCGTGAGCTGAATTGTTTTGTTTTTGTCCTTCAGCTAGATGCTGCTTTCTGATTGGTCGGCTTGTTACCATCCGGAACATTGTAGAGGGCGGGCCTTGACTCAGCTGATGGGGGACAACAAGCTTGCTTGTGGGGCCCATGCATGCAGAGATGGGGGGGATGGGGACATCCGTCCACAGCAGGGACAGGACCGAGGACTGATGCAAGATTAGTTTGACACTAAACTAGTATTTGCCTGATAAAAGTGTAAATTGAATATTGAAGCAAAAAGCTTAAACTTTAACATGTATGTATGTTCTGGATGAATGAGAATCTAATCCTTGTCAGCATTTTATTTTTTACTGCATGGCTGCATAAACCCAATTAAGAAGTGCCTATTAATACCAATAAGAGAACATTCTTATGCTTTTGATTTGGAGAACAGTGCTAATAAATTGCAGTGTAGTGTCATGTTGTGTCAAAATCGATTTAGCCCCTTGTTGTTAGTAATGTAGAAGTTATCATCTCAACATTGCCATACTAGAGATGACTAAATGATTAATAACGGTGAGAAACCAATACACAGGGCCCATTTGTTGTCACTGTTAAATACTTTCTACTTTTCTGTGTTGTTTTTAGACGTCTGACTCAGTCTCATGCTTCTTATCGCCACATCCTCTCACTATTAACCAACCAGGGCACTCAATAGCTTTCTTGGAATAAAATGACTCATAACTGTCATTATGCGCAGTGTTATGTTGTAAAGCTAAAAAGTTTGATTTGAACTGATGTCGGGCTCTCGTTGGGTTGCATTTTATTGTTATTGAGATTTTTTTCTTACTGGCTGAGTTTAGATTATTGATCTTGTGTTTGACTTCTTCCATGCTGAGTTCACATGGAAAGAAAAAGAGGTATGTTGAATAAAAGTATACTGTCTGTGGAGTGCTCCTTTTCCCTAACCAGCCATCAGCATCGAGAGCAAACACGAAGTTACCATCCTGAGTGGACTCAATGAGTTTGTTGTAAAGTTTCACGGCCCGCCTGGAAGTAAGAACCTATTATATAATGATGTTAATCATGATTTCATCCATCAAAATGTTTTTTTCAGGGAATAAATTGCCTTTGCTGTATTATATTTTAATTGTTCAGTGTGTGTAAACAATTCTAAATGCACGTTTGTCACTTTAGCACCGTACGAAGGTGGCGTGTGGAAAGTTCGGGTGGACCTACCAGATAAATACCCCTTCAAATCACCATCAATAGGTACGAATGCTGCAAATCTGAAGGCTACAACTTTACTTTAACTGCTTTTGTGGTGTGCAAGTAAAAGTTAAAAGAAAAATCTTCCTTTTTTTTTTACAGGATTCATGAATAAAATCTTTCATCCTAACATCGATGAAGCGTAAGTAGAACAACTTTTGACATCTGGAATGTTTTTTTTTTTCTTTTTTTAAAGCAGTTTAAGTTCATAATCTAATTGCTCTGTGATTCCCAGGTCAGGAACAGTGTGTTTAGACGTCATTAACCAGACATGGACAGCTCTGTATGGTAGGTCACTTTGTTTAAACTCAGCCTCGCTAAAATGAGCAGTTCAAAGTATTTCTCAGCTGTGCATTTTTACACGGCTTCTTTGTTTGGTCAGGCTATACTGAAATGATAACTACTCCTTTTATTGAGGTCATTCATTCAAATCTTATTAATGAGGAAGTCTGGGAACTGAAACGTGCGACCTCTAGTGGTTCATGTTGGAGTTGTTGATTTGTCCTCCATCTTCCTCCAGACCTCACCAACATCTTTGAGTCGTTCCTCCCCCAGCTGCTGGCCTACCCCAACCCCATCGATCCTCTAAATGGTGACGCTGCTGCCATGTATCTGCACCGGCCAGAGGACTATAAACACAAGATCAACGGTAGCTCACTACTGTCTCACACCTACACGTATCTGTAGTTTTACAGGAGGCTACAGCTTTATTAATTTCTGTAACTCATGCCACTTTCTTTTTCCCAGAGTACATCCAGAAATACGCCACAGAGGAGGCTCTAAAGGAGCAGGAGGTCGGCGGGGGTGACTCCTCCTCTGAGAGCTCCATGTCAGACTTTTCGGAGGACGAGGCTCAGGACATGGAGTTGTAGTGAGGGTTGTCCTCACACTCACAGCAGACTAAAGAGCAGAAACTCACTACTATATTCGTACTTGAACAAGACAATTTTTTTACAGCAACACAACAATTTTTATTGCCACACAAGGTTTTTGGCAGTTTGAAAAATAAACTCATGTTTAGGAGTTCACCACCGTCTGCCCAGAGACTGCCTGGATCAGAACGGCGTGCTTTCATTGCCCTTCTTCCTCAATATTATTTTCATGTTTTCAGTTAAAGTCTCACACGGCTCTAAACCAACAGAGTGTCACCGACTCAGTTTCCCCTCATCGTGCCATCTTTATTTTTCCCCAGCTGATTTTTGCTCTCAGTTGGCATCTTTCCCTCGCTGTCAGCAGGATGATGGCCCACAACATCTGAGCAGATTAATATTAGTAAAACCCCTAATTTTTCTGCCACCCTGAAGAGCTGCCATTACTGTCATCACCATCATAGGATTGAAGAGCAGAAGGCTGCAGTGTGTTCAGTCTGCAAACTAGAAATGGTTGCTCTAACAAGACTGCACTCAGTGCTGAGCTGCAGACACATCACACACTGTCCAGTAACGTTAGCCATGATTGTGTGTGTGTGTATGCATGATAACCTGGAGAATGGCTCATAATTATCCCTCTGTTGTTCAGTGCCCTCTTCTTCCTCCTCTTCCTCTGTTTTAGGAAAAGGTTGGCCATGCTCTGAGTATCGTGTATTGCGGCGTGACACAGAAGTAAAGTTATTGTGGGCCTTTGTGGAGCTGTATTGCTATGTGTCGGGCGGGGTTTGGTCAGGATTGTTGTCCAACTTTAAAACTTTGCCTCTTGCTTGTGTTGAACTATAATAGGTGTCTGACTTGCATAGGGATAGCTGGTTATTTATTTATTTTTTGCAGGTGGTGGATCCTCACTGTATGGTTTAATACTTCTTTAACACACAAGTTCAAAGTAAGTTTTTCCTGTAAAACGTGTGGAGTTGCGCATTTTTTGATTGATTCCTTTAAATCTTTGCTGTTCTGCACCTCCTTTTGTTACCATGTCCATCGCACACAAAAGCTTTTCTCGTGATGGTCTGTTCTTTTTCTGAAATATTAGAACCAACATGTGACCGATCCAACACAGCTGAGGAGGCAAATGATCAACTTTCACCATAAAACTCAAATTTGTGACAGTTTTTGTTTCAGCTTTAGCTCCGTTGGAGGGAACTGAACATCAGTTGTCCTGATGTACTCGTGAAGGTTTGCTGATGATTCTGATGAGGAAACACTGATCAGTGTTTTAGGGAAGGCCTGAAACTTTCTTGTAACATGCATTTGTTGCATTTTTTTTAAAAACAAACATTGAAAAATTCAAATGGATCATTAGAAACTGTTTGCAAAACATTGATTATAACCAAAAACTGAGTGAATAATCCCTTTACAGAACATGTTGGTTTGTTTTAGACCTGTGAATGCACCGTAACCTTCATGATAATCTGATTTAGAAGTTGTATTTTTTTTGACATAAAAGTGTATTAAACAGCATCAGTCAGATGGCAGTGATTAGCCTTTGTACCAAATATGCTACATGTTGATATTAGCCTTAGGACAACGCCATGTCAGTCTAAAGCACACAGACCAGCCTTGTTTGCCATCATATGGGTTCAAAACATTTTTTTTATTTACACATCACATATATTTGATACATATAATTTGTCTAAATGTTTTTACATTTGTCTTTTAAGCCCTGCGGGCAGGAAACAGATCAAGATGTTCCTAATTTTTAAAAGGCAAAAAAATCAATAAATGTGCTTCCCTTGTAACTTGAAGGCAGAAATAAACAAAAAAAATCTGTTCAGTGTTTTTGTTTACAAGTTTGTAGCAAGAAAATATTCCACAAACTTTATGCTGGTGTGTCTATCATTTCAGTATTTTTAGACTTGTTTTCTTTTTTAATTTAAAATTTCAATCTTAAAAATGTAAATTTTGATTGTGCTTGTGACTTTTATCTTGAAAGGCACTGTTTAAAAAAACTTTCTGAAATGGGTATTTTCTTATTTTAATCCGTATTACGATCATTCATTTTGCTGTTCAGCTGTTTTCAGTGATTCCAATCGAAACGTTGGTTCTTCCTTTGTCCACCAGAGGGCAGTATTTAGGCGTATGGATTTTACGTCATCAGAAATTGAGACAAATTGTAAATTAACTTATAAAATGAGAAAAAAAATTGTAGAGGGAAAAAATGTGTAATGTTGCATCAGATTTGTAATCATATAAAAATGCGTAGCTCCCCGTTTTAGCCAAAGTTTTAACAGGAAAAGTGGTCTTAAATTGCTGGATTATGTAACATTATTTCTTAATGTATCTGCGTTTGATTTATCATTTTTGACTCCTAATCATTTAAATTAAACATCTACTTCCTGTTTGCAAAACAACCATTAAAGGCCGCATGCTTCTCAAATAACCTTTTATTGGAGGCCTAATACGCAGTTTTTCTCTCAATGAAGGCATTCTTGGCTCATCCTATATACATGTATGGATTACAGAACGATGCTGATAAACTCAGACCGGGAGTATAATGATCCAATCAAATTTTCATCGCTGTGTGGCCAAGCTGCCCCTTTCTGCGCATATTCTGGTTTCCAGTTGCAAGTGTTTACTTTGCCCAGACGGCCACTCTCGTAATTAGGAATTGCTTCAGTCTTTTTTAACTGTTAAAACATCCACCAGTTCTGGTTTTAAGGCTTAAATTCGAGGAACTTAATGATACATAACACATTAAGCTTTTACTGTTTCTTCTTACACAAAGATGCGCGTGATTAAACGCGATCAAACAGGAGTACAGTTATTCCAGAGTAACCGGAGAAGCGGAGGACGCGCGGAGCGCACAGCCTCTGCTGGCCGGCTGCGTCCTTTTTCATAATGCATGGAGAGAACAAAGGGAGCGCGGCTGGATTTCAGCCTTAACTTTGAAAAAAGCCGTAACCCAAACCCGTACTATCCGGCAACAGTGGATTCACATCAGCTGAAAGGATGATGCGTCTTTTTCCACCTGCAATCTGTCTAATAATCACCGACAGCAGGTAAGTGAGCTCTGGAGAGACCTCCTGGTGTCCGTATAAAACGAGAGGAGGCCTGAGCTCAGAGAAACTTTTACTAGAGCGCAGGGAGGAGAGGGTGGAGGTGTCGCAATCCGTGGATCCTGGTAAGTCCAAGAGATTTGTTAAAATTCAAACTAGACTTATTCTTTCTTATGTAACGTTAAACTCAAATTGGTGAGATAATTATCCAGTGTTCCATCGTTAAGACGAATTTTGTTAAAGGAAATAATTTTGTGTGTGTGCGTAAAAGACGCACCGGAAACCCAGGTCTGCCTTTAGAGGCGGCAGAAGGAGAGGGAGGAGGGCGGCGTGGATTATTATACTGGCAGTGGGTTAAGATGCTTACCAACTAATTACCTGTCCACTAGAAAATCCCCTGCTACTGCACAGGCCAAACAAGCAGGGAGCCGCAATAGACGGACAGCTGAAGACCTGAAGGCTGGACGCAAAAATCCAAGTTTTTATTTTATTTTTAATTTTTGAAGTTTGAAGTGATTGGAGACATTTTGCAGCTGGATACTTCTGATCAGTGAAGATGCGTCTTTCTGTGAGTTCTTGGAGTTTTCTTTAAAAGTTAAGAAAATGTTTAGAAACTGAAATCAGAAACTTAAAAGCAGCAGTTTGATTGTGATGGTCTCTTGGTGTTAACAGAATCTGTAGCCGGTTAAACTGTCTGAATGTAACTTATTCTTTCAATGGTGATTTTCAGCTTCCATCTGATTCAGATTCATCACACAAAAATCTGTTTACCAGAAATAGGAGCAGCCCAGACGTCAGGAGAGACTAAAACAACTACAACACAGCACCTTTAGGAGGTTTTGATTGATACTCTGCCTCACACACACACACACACACACACACACACACACACACACACACACACACACGCACGCACGCACGCACGCACGCACGCACGCACGCACACACACACACACACACAAGCTTTTTACTCTATTGATCTTTCCCAGAAACTGAAAGGTGAGCCCTGCTTTGGGACCCATTTGGCGCATCTCAAAAATCACTTAGCGCATCATTCCCTACAGCCAGAATCAATCCAAGCTGCGTGTCTGCTCCTTGTATTCGGGACCGCTTTCATGGATGCCACAATTAGGCCAAAATGCCATCCCAACTTTCCAGCATCACTAAATAAGAGAAGCAGATTTTGATGGGGGGTTTGTGGGAAAAAAGTGGATGAACTGGTATGAGCAGGGCTGCAGGCCTTTGTGGGCAGCAGCAGCAGCAGCAGATGGTACAGGTGGATTTAATCTTCATCCTGTGAGGTGGGGATGAGGAAATGACATCACCATTTCCACTAATCCTTCAATGACCTCTCACACTGAACTCCAAAAACTTTAAAAAGGTCATGAAAAGTTTGTGTTTAGGTTTAGCTGCTTTAAAATGGGACTAACTAAGCTTCTATTTCCTCCTGTTCTGTGTATGGCACTGGTAGAATTCACTGTCTCGGCACATAATCAGTGAATTACCATAGGGCCATAAACAGAGTAGAGACAGAACCACCCGGTTAGAGTCCAAAAACCTGGATATGTGCACAAACACCTCTGATTCTCTTTGCTTATTTTGGCACTAGCACATTTTTGCTGTTTCCTCTTTGAGCAATCATGTGTAGTGCCAACATGAGATAAGAGAGACACTCGGCTGTTTTTCTCCACCAAAACGATTCTGTCTGCTGCTGAATCCTAAACAGAGCAGAGGGAACAGGATGGAAGAACCATGGATCCTGTCGATAACGTCGTCCCTATCAGATGTCAGGTTGCCATGGAGGATGGTTCTCCATCCCTGAGATGCTACTCCGTGTAACCTGATCTCCAGCCAGCACATGGATCAGGTGGCGGCGGCCGGTGAACTCTCCTACAGTGTTTGGCAATGGTAGAACTCACTCTGGTGGGCTGGAAGGATCCGGTGGTTCTAGACTTGCCAACAACTGACCGAGAGCTTTTAACCATCAAATCTCCACGGCAACAACGGGTGGTATCAGAAGAGCAGAGGACTGAAATTCTTATTTTCCTACAAATTCGCTGGTGTGAGGTTTTAGGGGGTTTAGGTGGAGTGTGAGTGACTGCAGGCGGAGCAGTGAGGGGTCAAAGTTCACCATCCCCCCCTGAGCGTTCTTGCAGTCTCAGAACACCAAAGAGGACCGAAGAAGGAAGAAGAATCCATCAGCATCTTGGTCACAGTGGATCCATGGTCTATATCGGTTTTTTTTTTGTCCACATGACATCAAGCTCTTGTGTAATCCTTCACTTGTGTTTAACATTAATAAATAATGGTTGTGATTTCACAAATATTGGTTAATACTTACCAAAAAATTTAGTTGGTCATTACTAGGGCTAAGAATCTTTTTATCTTTTAAATTAATTCATTAAATTTTTCTGGATGCATGCACAGTTTCCTTCTTTTTTACTTTTCAACCCAAGTGACAAACTGGGGATTTGCTGCCCTCTATCAAAGTCTTTAAAAGTCCTAAAATGGGATTCGATTAAAGGAATACTCTGCAGTTTTGGCTTGCTTTTAGCACCCCCTAGAGTCCATTATTAATCCGCTGTCATAAAACCAAAACTGAACGTCTCCTCGCTGAGCGCTGCTGACATGTCTCCCCAACCTTCATTACTTTCTACAGGAGCGATTCATCACAAAAGCAAACACATCAGCTGTGTTCATGACCAAAAACATGCAGCAATCATGTGCTGGAAGCAGACTCCAGCATTAGCATGTCAGCTTTACTTTACTATTGGTAACAGAGTTCCTGGTAAATAATATGACCAAGATCCTGAGAGGAGGACTCATGTGACCACAGGGAAACGCACGGGTTGGCAAACCCAAACATGGATTCAGAACGCTGGATGATCACAGACAGACAAGTTACTCTACAAGCTACGAGTAGCTAATCAACAGGACCAGGGCTGGCGGCACTGCTCAAAGGCAGCCGGGGTCGAGGATTTGATGTGTAAGGATACAGGGACCTTGGTTAAAGACAAGAAAGTGTCAATGACTGAGCATTTGCCTAGTAAAAGGCTTCTGGGTCTAGGTGACAGGTGTGATCGGTGACAGAACTGGACGTGATCACTACCGCCTGACAAACATTTTTTAGAAGTAAGGAAAAGCTAAAACAAACAAACAAACATACTAAATTTGTTCTTACAATTGCAACAGGATGATTTTCAAGTCTGCATTCAGTTTGAAGCTTTGTCTTTGAGCTCTCGTGATTCAAAAAACTCCCAAAGTTGACTTTAGTTCGACTCCTGTGGTTGGACGATCATTTCTTTTTAGCTTCATCAGATGAATGTCTGTTTGTTTCTGCTGAGGCTCTGCCATGATAAACACGATGCATCAAATGCTAACCAGGTATAGCTCGTCTGTCCTGAGGTGTCAACATAGATAAAGTAATGCGTTGCTGCTTCACGCAAGACACGTGACTTCAGGGGAGCGGTCCGGATACTCTGAAGTTGCAAGTTCGGTATTTTGGCCACAATGAGCGGAGGGGGCTGAGTGACTCTTCATTAACCCTGAAAAGGGTCATTTTAACACATAATGGCTTAAGAAAACGATTTAAAAATATGAAGAAAAGAAAACATGCTTAGTCTGTTTGATTTTTGTTCAGCTGTTTTGATAAATAACATTTGTGATTTTATACATTTTAGTTAATCTTACATAAAAGTATTAACTGGTGTTTACTTAGGCCAATATTCAGTTTTGAGTATAGATCTGAAACACTGATGGTAAGAGATGCTCACAAGTCCCATGGCGGTCAAGGTTTTGTGTTCCTTTAACATGAATTGTGATGCCAGTGTGTCCTGGTTCTTTTGTTTTATACTGAAAAATAGCCTGTTTTTAATATAGGTTCTACATCCCCCCAAGGTGCTTCAACACAATCTGTCATTCACCCACGGACACACTCATTCACATTCTGATGAGCCACAGTGTAGCCACAGCTTCTGCCGTGAGGTACACCAACAGAAGTGAGGCTGCCGAACACTGGCGCCACCGGTCCCCTGGACCACCACTAGCAAGCAAGGAGGGGGAAGTGCCTTGCCCAAGGACATAATGACTGCAACAGACTGAGTGGACCTTGAATCTGCAACCCTGCGGTTACAGGGTGGGTACTTAACTCCTTAACACAAAAGAGCCTGGATTCAGTAGATGTGTGTTTTTGACCGTTCTTTCCTTTGTTTCCATTTGGAAACTTGCAGACAAATGCAAAGCTGCAACACACCAAATGCATCTCTAAGCTGCACGTCTCACACAGCCTAAAATGGACTAAACATATTACTATCAACAGCACTGAGAGCAGACCGAGCCATCAGCCGCTGATGTGTGTTCATCATGTTTCAGTTCGGACGCTGTGAGAGTCCATTACAGCTACTTGCAAAGGAAGTGAGGTTAAGTGGTGCCAGCAGAGTGGAAGAGGAGGCAGGCAGGCCGACACACTGACAGCTGGTATCAGTGATTAGACCTTGTAGTGATGCAGCAAAGACATCAAAGCTCTTTAGGGAGAATCCCTAAATGGGAGGAGGCAAGAACGCACGCACACCAACCAAATCCTGAGACTCCCTGGTCACTAAAACTGCCCACAAACTGAGCTGACTGGTCCAGTAGCATGCAGGCTGCACACAGACCATCTGTCCTCCTCAGACGCAACATCAACTGATGGATTATCAGCAGCTACATGGACACACACACACACACACACACACACACACACACACACACACACACACACACACACACACACACACACACACACACACACACACACACACACTGCTGTGATGCTGGTAACAAGAAAATGAGTGGTTATTAGATTGGGAGGGGTGTGGATGTTAACGGATCTCCTCATTTATCTCACACACTGATGGCTCTTTAAATGCTGCCATCTCAACAATTCTATAATCCTGTACATCACTCTGTCTGTCACAATAGAAGTTTATTTCCCTAATCTCAGTATAATGATGAGTGTCTGTCCTTAATCTTGGAATAGATTGTTCACGGAAAAGTGATATTTGGAGTTTGATCGACTGATTTATTGTCAACATTTGGACATGTAAAAGTCTGAAAATGAGATTTGTGTGAGTGTGTATGTGCGTATCTGTGTCTGTGCTTAAATAATTTGATAAAATAATCACAAAAGAGAACAAATACGGAGAAGCATATTGTGTTCAGGAGAATTTTACTGTAGTAGTAAAGAAGTAGTAACAGTGGTAAACTCACCTTTTTACTTTGAGCCTGCAAAGGGAAACAACCCACACACACGCACCCACACACACGAACACACTCACATACGCACACACACACACACATGCGCATGCACTCACACACTCACACATGCATACACACACACATACACACACGAACACACTCACATACGCACACACACACATGCATACACACTCACACATGCATACACACACACATACACACGCACGAACACACTCACATACACACACCCATACACATACACATGCACACACGTACATGCGCACATGTACACACTAGAATACTTCTCTCTCACACACACACATCCACTCACACACACACACACACACACACACACACACACACACACACACACACACACACACACACACACACACACACACACACACACACACACACACACACACACACACACACACACACACACACACACACACACACACACACACACAGGACTGGGATTACAGTAATCCGGTGGACATTTTTAGCCCTTCGTGACCAGAGGCAGACAATCAAGAAAAACAGACGACTGTCATCTGACCAGCTGGATTTTCTTGGAACGGAGTTGATTTCCAACACTAAACTAATGACAACTAATGAGTGAGTATTACAAAAACTATCAACATGTTCCTACAACGCCATCTGAAGTTATTAAAAATGACCAGAATTATAGATTTTAAAAAACACTTTTGAATTGAAATGACCACACTTTATTTTAGCCAAAGGTATAATTTTATTTATGTTGTGTTAAAAATCAGACATTTTGTAGTTTATTTATCTTATTATCTTACTAGCAGTTGATTGTGATACTGAGCCAAATTTTATTTGGATATTGTGGAAAATGTGAATTATTGTGCAATATGAGGATAACGCTGTGTTTACAAATCATCTAACTGAAAATGAAGAAAATTAGTAAAGAAATCTGATCATTATAGCTAAAATAAAAACCTGGATGAATCCATCTTTTCATTGTTTTGTTATTTGTTGTTAACTATTTCCTCCTCTGATGCCATATTTAGACATTTTCTAATAATTCAAAGGAACAAATCTGAAGCTTTAATCAGTAAACAGTTTATAGCATCTGCTGTGATTTCTTTCTTTCTTGTATTTAAGAAAAATAATAAAGCATCATGACTTAAAATTTTATTGACAATTATGATCTAATTGATAATTTTGTCCCATAAATGGATATTACTATTAATTACAATAAACTTTATATTAGATTTACCTCCAACATTTAAAGTGACGTTACCAACTAAATAACAAGATCAATTTAAGTTTACAAACATATTTAGAACTCACCATTAAATAAAAATAAAATTTCATCCCTGAAGTAGCTTGAAAGATTTGGATTTGGTATAAAATATACAGTACTCGCTTTCAGGTCAATGCATAGTTTATTCTGGGCATAAAAGATGAAAAACAAAACTTTGACAACAATTCAAGTTGATAAAAAGTTTTTCCAACTAAATACATATTTTGCTGCCAATTTAAATATTTCTGAAGAGGCTTAGTGAAAATGATACGCAATATTTAAAACACATTTTTTTGTATTTCCCAACAACGGTGCTCTTCTGCCCCCTGGTGGTTGAAAGTTTTATCAGCTTTGTAGATGAAGAGCTGAATAAGAAGCGTTTCCATTTCTCTGTTTTTTAAATCTCGTTTAATTTTAATCATCCCAGATGTGACCACAATCTGGATACGGCAGCGTGAAAAAACAAGAAACAAAACAAGAAAGAAAACAAATGTTTTCTGTGATTCCAAATCTATTATGGGTGCAAGTGATCCTTCTGCAGGAAGTGGATTTAACCTGCAATGAATTCTCTGAGGAGTCAATATCTGTCAAAATAAAACAAAATAAACATTCAGATTCATTTTTTATCATTTCATCTGATTTATAAACATGAAAACTTTAAATATCACCTGTAGTAGTTGGGTTTGAATGGTCCGTGTTTGCTGATGCCCAGGTAAGAGGCCTGATCGTCGGTCAGCTCTGTCAGATGAGCCTCAAACATTGGCAGATGAAGGCTGGCCACATATTCATCTGAAGGCACAGGAAAATACATTTTCATTCAAATCATGAATTGCATTTTTAAGGGATCCAGAGAAATTATTATGTTCAGCCAGAACTTGCCCATTTTCTTAGGAAGCAGGTAAATATCCTTCTGGTATCGTCCCTGTGGAGCATTGTACAGCTCTATTAGAGCCAAGGCCTGGAACATGTCAGGAAAAATTAAAAGTACATACACACATACAAGAGTGTCAGAAATAAATATCTATTGTAGTTAGGGAGACAAAATATACCTGAGTTGTGGCTGAGACAGAGAGGACAACAGACGGCACTGTGGAGCAACACAGATTCAACAGGCGACCCTGAAGACAAAACACCCCCAGACTAGAACAACTATGAGAGATTAAACACTTGAAAAGCAATCAGTTCTAATCAAAATGATATTTTAGTGTACATAATATTCTGGGGTGATGTTAGCAGAGGTGTTAAGTGCCTGCCATGTAATCAGAAGGTTGCAGTTTAAATTCCGGCTCTAACCAGAGAATACTGCTGTTGTGTCTATGGGCAAGGCACTTAACCCACATCGCCTGCCAGTGGTGATCAGAGAGACTGGTGGCACGGGTGTACAGGACAGCTGTGGCTCATCCCCACCAGTGTGTGAACAGGTGAATGACCTTTGTATTGTAAAGTACCTTGGGGGGTTGTAGAACCCTAGAAGGTGCTTTTTCAAATACAGGCCAACTACATTTAAGCCTAATTTTAGAGAACTTTACTGCAGATAAGCCTTGAGCCACCACTGTGTAACGTCCAAAAGGGTCAATTTTCTCCTATATGTTGATCTACATAATAACCTTTCATCTACAGAAATAAATCAACTTCCTATTTGGCCTTCTAAATCCAGAAGGTTCTGTTCAGCACGTGTTGACATTCCACAAAGACAAGACATTCAGGCAGGTAAGCCTTATTTGTCTGTGACACTAGAACAGGTGCTCCCCTGCGACGCTCTTCTGGACACTGGTTCAGAATATACTCTCATGTCCCATTCTCTTTTCAACCGCCTCTGCCTAGCTGCTGGAGGAGGAGGTCGACCACCAGAACTCACTTCATGTGCGTTAAATGTCTGTGCATTTTCTCGAAGTAACATGATCTTGTCGTCCAGGTCTCTTCTCCACTTCACGATCGGTCCTATGATGTTGACACACCCCGTGTACATCTGTGAACCATGCCTTTGATCCTTGGCGTTGATCTTTTGAAGCGCCTTGAAGCTGTTATCGATCATGATGGGGGTGAACTTTGGGCGGGTGTTGAAGACCCACTGCCCATCGTTTTGACTCCTGACCCTGACCTTCACTGCCTTGTGGTTGGTCACCCTGAGCATGGAGAAACCACGTTCTCCCCGCTGAGCTCAGAACCTCCACCACCACTACCACAGCTTCCTTCAGAGCCATTCTCTGATGTTCTCTCTCACATTGAACAGGTCATGGACCAAGCCGATGCTCTTACCAATGAGGTTGAGCGAGACAAACTATGGCAACTTCTGTTAAAATACAAAGACTCTCTTTAAGTTGACTCCTTGGACTGTGGGTTAACCACTATCCATGAGGTCAGGATTCCTACACCACCACACGCACCGCCAACTTTTGTGCATCAATACAAGATTCCCCTGGCGTCCCATGGACCGCTCCGGGACATCGTTGACAGCCTCTTGGTGAAGGGTATCATTCGACACTGCAACTGTACCTACTCGCTTCCATTTTGGCCGGTAAGGAAACCTAATGGTAAGTGACGACTAACCATTGACTACAGGAAACTCAGCCAACAAGTTCCCTTGTCTTGGTGGCCGATGGCACACCTGGAACAAGAACTTCCGAAGGTGAGAGACACTAAATACTTCTCTACTCTTGACATTGCATCTGGATTCTGGACAATCCCTGTCCATAAATCTGACCAATATAAATTAGCCTTCACCTTTACCAACCGCCAGTACACCTTCACTCTGTGTCCTTTTGGCTACTCCAACTCACCATCTGAGTTCAACATCTTCTTGGACAAATCCTGCCCCGATGTCAGCAGTGAGGTACCATCATCTACATCGACGACATTCTGATTAGTAAAAGTACTTTGGATGTCCGCCTGTCCGAGCTGGACCATGTCCTCCTCCCACCCCTGTCCAGACTGAGGTGACAAGCGCTGCTTATCGCGGCTGCATTCACTGACGTGTGGAGAGTCCCAAACCCTACCACCCCACCTAGTGGACACTTATGTTGTGTTATGTCTGACGTCTGTTGCAATTCTGTCTGAGGTGTTTTTTGCGTAGCAAAGCTGCCCTCCCTGTGGAGGGTAACTCTGAAGTGCCTTTTTTTTCCTCCACCTGACCCAATCCTCATGTAAACCCTCTGATCTCTATTAAGGTAGGGCGACTCGGGTTGCGAATGACCACAGTCACCAATTCTTGTCATGTGTCTTTGCCTATGTATGTACGTCTGATCTCAGAACTGTGTGTACTGAAACTCTAATTTCCCTCTGGGATTAATAAAGTATCTTTGAACTGAATTTGAATTTTGTCCTGGGTAAGCTCGCAGCTGCAGGTGCAAAGATTTCCCTCGCCAAAGGTCAGAGGTGCAGGTCAAAGGTTCAATTTGTTGGCCTCCTGTTGGGACCACAGGGAGTGCAGCCTCAACATGGTAGAATTCAAGGGGTTGCCACCATCAAATCTCCTACGAATGTCTCTGAACTTCAGAGTTTTCCAGGTGTGTGCAACTACTCTCGCCAGTTCGTAGAACACTACGGTGGAATGGCGAGAGAGGAGGAGTGGAGTGGGGGGTAATGATCACACAAGCTCATGACTCTCCTTCTGCTGGACACAAAGGTGTCAAGGCCACGTTCTGTGCCCTGAGCCAGGTTGCTTACTGGCCCGGGATGCGTCGAGACATCTCAGACTACGTCCAGAGCTGTTTGGTTTGCTGTCAATTTCAACCATCAAACCCCATCCACAGAGCTCCTCTACAAAGAAGGGGAACATCCACACCGTGGTCAGACCTGCAATTTGATTGGGTGGGGCCCCTGACCAAGTCCAGCAGAGGTAAAAATACTTCTTGACCATGACCTGTACATTCACCAAATGGGTTGAATGTTTACCAGCACCTAACGACATGGCTCAAACAACTGCTGTCCTTTTGATGAATCACATCTTCTCCTGGTTCGGTCTCCCTGCACGTGTTAACTCGGATAGGGGAACTCACTTCACATCTGAAGTGATGGAACACCTTTGGCAGATGTTGGGGGTAAAGGCCAATTTCCACATTGGTTACCGGCCCCAGTCTTTTGGCCAAGTTGAAAGGATGAACCAGACGGTTGTCAGCATATTAAAGAAGTACGTGTCTTCTAATCACAGAGACTGGGATGTGAAGTTTCCGTTGGTCCTCATGGTCATACGGGCCACTCCTCATGAGTCTACAAGCATCCCCCCGTTTGAAATGATGACGGGTAGACAGATGACCCTGCCGCTCCACCTGCTGTATCAGTCAGTTCAGTCCAAGACTTACACTAATGAGCAGCATCTACAAGACCTGAAGAACCATCTGCCTGCAGCGTTTTCTTTTGCACAGACAAATCTGGAGAAATCAGCTGAGGGCAGGAAGGCTTATTATGATCAAAAGGCATCACATTCTGAACTCAACGTAGGTGATAAGGCCTGGTTGTACAACTTTGCTCCTAAGTTCGGTCAGACAAAATTCACCTCTGGTAAATTGGCTAAGAAACTTTTGCCGAAGTGGTCAGGTCCATACCTGATCACTGAAAACCTCTCGCAGGTCGTGTAGCAGATCAAGATCACCAAAAGTAACAAAGATCCCATCTGTGTGTCCACAGGAACCAAATCAAACCTCTCAAGGGTTCCACAAACTTTGATGATAACACCACCCATAAATCTGATGACCCAATTCAAATCGCACCAAAGATCAGTCAGATTGATATTTCATATTTATATGGAATATCACATCTTATTGGTCATAATTAATATGTATTAATTGCCACAACTGCTACAACAAAGCAAAAACACATTTCATTTCATTGTATCTTGGTGCTTTTTGCCGAAAAGCAGCAGCTGATGAAAAGTGCCCAAACCTCACATCAGCACAATGTTTTAACAGAAACCCAAAGAAAAAAGATGCATAAAGATTAAACCACTGCAGGTGTGACCATTGCAGGTGAAAAAGTGTTAAACCTCTGCATGAGGAGGGACACAAAGCTACAGCATGAGTTAATGTTCCGACACCAGGAATAGCTCAGTTAGGTGTTCCTGTGAGTCATTAATGATTTTATTCCTATTTGTACTTCTCTAACCTGCCTGGTGCAGTAACAGTGGGTCACTGCAGACCCAGATCTGTGTTGACACACTTAAACATCCTGATATGTGATGGCTGTTTCATTATTTATGACTTATCTAAATAATATTCACGCATGGAACTTTATAGAAGGGGCATCAACACCTCAGCCAGCAGCACGACTCGTTTGCCTTCAGGCCAGATGACGTGGTCCACATGAGGCCTGACACGCTGCCACTTCAGCTCAGCAGTCCTCAGACTTGACTAGGAAACAGGAAAGTCAGGTTTATAACACTGAAGCATTCAAACACACAAATGCACACTAAAGGATTCAATCTCACCAGATCTATCTCCGTGTTTGAGTGTCCCATGTTGCAAACAATGCAGCCGTTCTTCATTCTGTTAAAATGTTCTCGAGTGATCACGTTCTTGTTGCCTTCAGAGAAACATCAGATCATTAGTATTGTGTGATTAATTGCTCCTGAGTGTATTGTCATCAGAGGGCAGCAGGCAGACCGGTGCAGGAGATGATGATGTCGACCTGTCTGACAACTTTACTCAGTGTGGTCACTCTGAGGCCGTCCATGCTGAGAGAACGAGAGCGAATTGGGTTAAAAGAGTCATTCTATGTGTTTTTATGCACTTTTTGCTGATAAAAGCTTCTTCTTTTCATACCAGGCCTGAAGGGCACAAATAGGATCCACTTCCGTGATGTAAACAACAGCGCCCAGTCCTTTCAGAGCAGTGCAGCAGCCTTTACCCACCTGCAGCGATAAAGACAAGAAGCCAGTCTAGTGAAAACAACACAAGTTGCTTTAGGGACGTGCTCTTTTGTACCACTGACCTCCCCGTACCCACACACCACGACCTGTTTTCCTCCAAACATGACGTCAGTTGTTCTCTTCAACCTGGAAAAGCTCATGTTAGTCAGGATGTTGCAAGTGTTCCGTACCTGTTGATGGTCCAAACACGAGTCATTACCCGTCCAGGATGGACTCCTTGCAACAGTAAAGGTTGTCAAATTTCTGCTTTGTCACAGAGTCGTTAACGTTCATGGCAGGAACACACAGCTTGCCTGTCTTTGACAGCTGGTACAGCCTAAAACACAAAGACACAAACACACGTGTGTGTGTGTGTGAGCTGGAGAATGACCTCAAATATCATTTAGGCTTTGTGGAAAACAAACCTATAGATCCCCGTCACACTTTCCTCCACGATGCCTCTGATGTTCTTAAACAAATGTGGATACTTCTTGCACATCAAGTGGGTCAGATCACCGCCATCATCTAAAATCTAATGAAAATACATTTTTAGGTCTTTATTTGTAGATCAAGCATAAATATACAACAACAATGCAGCTCATGGAAAAGCTGTAAAGTAAAATAAACACAACCAAATGACTTCAGTGTCTGTGTGAATCACCTATCTGACCGTTTGTGTGTGTGCATGTAAACACACACATTTGTTGTAACACAAAAGGATTCAGTGTGTAACAATGCTATCACTGTTTATCCCTCGGCATTCTGGTAACGCTCATTTTAGTCCATATCTTATTAAAAATGAGTGAAATTAATAAAAAAATGCTAATAAACCAATATAAATCCAAAAGTCATGGGATTGTTTAAATAAAAGTGTGATGTTATTGTTGACATTGGCCAAAATTAATAAATAACCAAAGAAGAACATTTTTCATGGGGCCAGTAAAGAGATTTTAATCAATTTGACTAAAAAACACCTAGAAATACTGAAGAAACAAAAAAAATCCCACCAAATTCAGGTGTGAAAATGTGAAGTGTTTTAGAGAATATGTAGATTTTCAAATTTGGGTTTGGTTTTCAAAAAAAAAAAAAGAAAATTCATATTTATCACTATATGGCAATGCTTCCCAACTTTTAGGATGTGTTTGCAGCATTTAAATGTTGATGTGGCCAGAAGTGACTCATAATCATTAGGTCTTAACCTGCTTTGAATAAATTTGGGTAACATCAGTCGTTATCATTTAAAATAGCTCATTTCATCTTTTTAAGTAAACAATCTTTGATCCAGAGACATTTTGTTACACATAGTCAGAAATCAACATACCAAGTCTGGTTGCCAGTTATCAGGATCAATACATCGATCGATACACCACCAGAAGTCTTCCTCAGATTCTCCTTTCCAAGCAAACACGGAGATTTCTGAGAGACAAAGAGGTTCGAAGAAGAGAGATGATTGAAAATAAATGAAACTAAGGCAGAAACCATCAGGTGGAGTTGTTTAAAGAAGAACCTGCCTGCTTCAGCCAGAGCAGCAGCCACGGCGTTCTGGGTGGAGAAGATGTTACAGGCGGCCCATCGACACTGAGCGCCCAATGCAGCCAGAGTCTCGATTAACACCTGCACCAAAATATCAACACAGACATCCACTTATTAGAGTTCACTTAATATAAAAATACAAAAATATAATTACATTAAAAAAATTTAAAAAAAGTATCAGAGTTAAATCACCAAACAGTAAAATTCCAATCAAAATCAGTGCTTGGAAGGTAATAAAACAACACGATGCCCTTTTACTGAATTTTATGACCTTGTACATCATAAGATTTTCATTTTTATATTTTTGTTTATAATGCAAGTAGGCAGTTTTATTTGTAGAAATATAACCAGTTCATGCACATTATGCAGGGTTTATTTATACTCTCTAATTTTTTATTTTGTCCTTTTTGTTGTGCGAAAACTCAAACATATTTTAGACACCTTTAAAGGAGACATAATGTACAAAACACATCGTTTGCATCTTTTTTGCCGCTATGTGGACCTCTGCTGCCTCTATAAACACTTCAAACATAAATAACACCTGCCCATTCATTTTCTGTCAGTGTTTGGTTTTAGCACGTATGTGCATAAAACAGCCCATTTAAAAAACTTCTTATTTGTGATGTCACAAATGGGGAAATTAGCACAGAACCAACAAGTGCAAATTAGAGCTGGGCGTGGCCCATTCCCACTTTTTTTTTCTTCCTCAAGTTTCTTAAAGTGACAGAGGTCTGAAGCGGCTCATTCTGGAAGGTACTGAAAATGTCAAGAATAAAACTGCTAAATAAATAAAACACTTAATGAGAGAGTGATTTTTGTAAATAAAAAAAAAAACGAAATAACTTCCATTAACATGTTTTGTATCGACCACAGAATTATTATAACGTAAGAAAATAAGTCATACGCTGTGAGAAAGTTGAACTGACCGCTGTCTGTGCAGTGATGTGCGTGCAGCCCACCACTTTGGCTCCAGCCAGAGGTTTTTCTCCACCCGCTCTTTTCCTCAGGATCATCAGTGCCGGCATTTCTAAAAGACAAGCACAGCAAATACATCAGCAGGAAACATCACACGACTCCTTCTCCAGCGAGTTAAGTCTCTCAGTGACCTCAGTTAGATGGAGGCAACATAAATAATGTTATCTTTTCTTTGAAGACAAAAGCTGTGATGTAATATGTTACACCTTGCTGTGCGATTTCTATTTCCTTTCGCCCAAAAGCAGCCTGTTTGATGTTTTTAACGCAGAAGTCCGACAGGCCTTTGGAGGTACTCTGCAGCTTGTCTTGTGGAGACAAGTCGTCCTCAGAGCTTTCGCTTCCTACTGCAACACAAAACACACAATGCAAGAACAATCATCAGGATTTTTTGGTTTGATTCTGAAGCAGTTTAGTGAAGAATTTTAGGTTTTTATGATCTAAAGCAGAGACGTGTGAGAAAGAACCAGAAAAGGTTAAACATTTCCTAAATCAAAGTCAAGCCTGAGGCAAAACACGCGAAAAGGCACAGAGGATAATCCCCAGGACTTGATCTCCATTTGTAAATGAGAGACACATGATTGTGTTTCTATACCTGAAGTGAAGCTTTCTGTAGATGACTGTGAGATGGAGTGAGACAGAGAGCGAGGACCAGCTTTGGTGGGACGTTTGTTGAATTCTTGTTTCTCGTCATTGAGCTGGATTTGCTGAAGTGAAGCAGAAGAAAATCAGAAACTGCAACATCTTGTGATCCTCGGATAAATTAAAACAAACCAGCCCATTTTCCATATTCCTCTTTGTTTACGACCTCACCCTCAAGTGTGTCTGATCGAAGGCTGAGCTGCTACCTGAGTCCCACCTGTCCATGCCAGCTCTTTGGTTCCCCACTCTGATGCTGGCCTGTTTTGTCTGCAACCTCAAGCTTTCTTTGATTTTCTTTCTTCTCAAACCTTGTGCAGACTCATAATCACCCCCCCTGTGTGCAGACACACCCACACGCTGACAAAGTGTTCAAAATCTGGAGTCAGAGTTGCATGTTTTAGAGGATTACTGCAGGAGAGAGTTAGCTGCTCTGCACTCTGAAAGGATTTACATACTTATAATAAAAAACTCAGCTATGCAGAAACATAAAGTTAAGCCTCTGTGACATGAAGGGAATAAAACAAAGTGGTTTAGATCAGTGACACCATCAGATCACTCCACAATTCTCCTGTTTTCTCCAGGTTTTACATTCACAATGTGCTTTTGCTGCTTTTGCTACCTTGAAACTGGATGGTAAATGATCTGCGTTTGTGTAGAGCATTCTAAGGTTTCTACGACCCCCCAAGGTGCTTCACAACACAATCACTCATCCACCCATGCACACACATTAACTTGCTGCTGATGATGATCTACAATGTAGCCACAGCTTCCCTGGGGCACACTGACAGAGGTGAAGCCTGCCATACACTGGCGCCACTAGTCCCTCCAACGACCACCAGCAGGCAAGGAAGGTTAGGTGTCTTGCCCAAGGACACAACAGCAGAGTTCTCCAGTGGGAGCAGGGCTCAAACCTACAACCTTCTGATTACTGGACAACCTGTTCTACCTCCTGAGCTACTGCTGCCCCCCCCCCCCCAAAAAAAAAAACTGCCCTTAAAACTTTAGATTTTGACATCTTTATGATGTCCTGCAGCTGAAGTTTATTTTGGCGAAATTTCAAAATGTTCACGTAGAAATGAGAATAATTAGGCTAAAAAATAATAGTTGTACTAACACGCAAAAATTCAGACGAGAAGACATTTGTAAAGTCTGTTATTTATTGGATTAATTTAAGTGCACATTAAAAATGAAATAAAATAATTAAGAAGTAAATGAGAAGGAAAAATGTAGAAATTATTTAAATTATGTAATTTTTCATTCATTTCCCCATAATAAACACATGAATTTTAATGTATTTTCTAATTCATTGTTATGTTGAGGTTTACCCTTGATTTTAATCCTGAATCCTGGAATATTTAAACCCACTACTCTGCTGCACACTGAATGAAATAATGCACATTGTTGAGTAACATTTTTCAGGAGGTTTAATGCAATTTTTGTTTTGTTTTATGAGATTAATAAAGACTGCCCTGGCTGTGTCAAAATAAAAGCATCAAAACAAGATTAATGTGAAGAAATACACAGATTTAAGATAATTTATTAACACTTCTTTGATTTTACATTCAAAATCAAAACTTTGACCTGTTTGTATATTTGATGAATGCATAAGACTGATTTTTTAATGTTGCTTATTAAAATTGGATCTGAAACAGGTTCAAATAGCTCAATAAAGAGATTTGTTCTCATGAACGATCACTTGAATCTAATCCTCAGAAAACAGTTGTTGGCTGTTGCTCAATCAGCTGCTTGATCTTTAGCACAGAGAGACATTAAGCTGTGACTTGGAGCTGCCTGAAAGTTAATTTAATGATCTGAAAATAACAAAAGTCTTGAATCTGGGCCAGTTGCTGTGATAAAAGACCCGATTATTTCAACCAGTGAGTCTCTGCATTACAGTGTGTCAGATTATTAATCCAGATTGTTCTCAGAATGAACAACTCAGGTGTTTTCATTAAAAAATCCCCTCCTTCTTACAGCTTTTGATGCTGGCTTCTGTCCGCCTCACTGATCCCAAAGAAAAGAAAAGGAGTTGTGATACCTTGACACAAATGGACTGCACTGTCTCCTGCTCCCTGGCTTTGGTTTCAGTCACCAGATTATAAGTTTTCTTCATGCTGGCACAGAACTCCCACCACTGATGCCGAGGCTACTCGTGGAGCTGCAGGCTGATACTGTTAAACTGCTCAGAGAGAAACGTTCTGTCACGCCCACAAATAACAGGTGACGGGAGACAAAGGCAGTAAATAATGGAGTCTTTGTGCTTATGGCATGCAGTTCTCAGAAATTTAAGGAGGAGATATCATCAACATAAAGACGGATTTAATGTCATTGTTTTAAAAACCTGTCAGGGTCATAATTATACACATTTGGTAGTGAAGAAATGTCTGGTTTAGCTTCTGAATTATTCTAATGCCCATTTGCAACGTCAAACCCAAACATAATTGTCATTTTTTAACATTTACTTGAATATTTTTGCATCATAGTTATGTATGTGGTGCTTTAATCTTATAATATTTGCATTGTTTATTAGTATAAGTTTGTTTTAATCATTGATTAAAAACCCAGCAGCTGTGTATTATGAAATCCACCCTTCCTTTGCAGAACTTGGTCAAACATTTCTAGAAGCCGCAGACTCTGAAATCATTAACATCCTGAGTAGATGCAGATTTGTGCTTCCTGTAGAGTCTGATCAGAAGAGTCTGTGTTATCTACAGCCCTGGGATCTAGAACCAGACTTTTCTCACCATGTTGGTCTTCAGAGCCTCAGTAATTGCCTCTCTTGTCTCAGTTTCTGAAGCTTCTGCCTTGTCTCTGTCCTGATCCTGAGGAGTCCACCTGGTCTCTGCTGCTTTCAGCATCTGCAGCAGCTTGGGGCTCCATTTCACAGGCTTTTCTTTGGGTCCTTCCTCTGCACCGGCCTGAACGTTCTCCCCCGTGACTTTATTTATCTCAGCTTTGCCTCCATCCACATACTGTTCTGGATACCCATCAGGAAAAGTCAGGTTCTCCCAGGAGGACCCGATCTGGTTCCTTTCCTTTGCCATCACTCCTCTGGTGTTACCTGTGGGAAAGTGATTTAGATTCCTGCTCAGGTGTGTTTGCCTCCCATCCTATACCCTCATCTGTGTGTGTCGAGTCCAAACAGCAGCGCTCGCTGATGATTTAAGAAGTGTGTCCACAGTAAACACTGGTTTTCGTCACTCAGGGAAATATGATCTGAAAAAATAAGACGAATTACGAACTTCGTTTTGACAAACCAGACGTATCACTGCATTTCATTCCTGTTATGATGAAAAGAAGTGAAAAGCACTGTCTGCTCTTTGTGTTGATGCTGACAACAAGGGTGCCAGCCTGAAAAGAACAAAATACAGAGTCATAGTGACAGAAGGTGACATTAAAAACAATCAGGTGACGACTTGTGTACATTAAATCCAACCAGCATCAATAATGTCCCAAAGAGGCATTAAAGGGTTAAGAATTACATTTACCGGTCACTTTATTAGGAACTCACACATTTAGGAGTCTGTTTATTAACCCTGCAGGTGTAAAATAGGCTGTAGGAGTTCAGAGTTAGCAGTTCAAAAGTTATTATGACCAAAATGACACCTAAACTCCTTTTTAATGTTTGACTCTCACTATTTGGTATGTCAAGTGTTACATAGCAACTATATAACTCTTTTTAGTGTTAAATTGACTCTACACTTGCTTAAATTGGATCAACACTGCCAAAGTAACAATTTTAAATTTGCTGTGCCTCTGGATGTGGTGAAGATGACCAGTCAGCCTACCTGAGTACTGTTGCTGGCCTTATGACTTCTGATACTTCCAGCAGGATAATGCACCAAGTCACAAAGTTTAGATCATCTGGTTTCTTGAACACAGTCTCCAGAACTCCATCCAGTCCAGAACCGTTGGGATGTGGGTGAATTCCCAGCTATTAGAATTGCTCAAAGACTCAAAAGGTGTTTTAAACAAGCAAAACTGAGTCGGAAATGTATTAATATTTTTATGAATAAAAATTTTCTAATGTTACAAAATACATTTGAATTAGTCGTAGGTTTAGCGTGAAACAGTTACGAAAAAGCAAAACTGTCAACATTTTGAAAGGTTTAGATTCACAACCAGATGTTCAGATCAGAATATTTAACCCTTTAACTTCCTAACCAAGATGAAAGCAATGAAAACAATTCCCATTCGACATTTTTGAGGCGTTTGGGGAACATTTAAATTTCATAATAGTAATAAAATAATATTTTTAATAATGATTATTCAATGCATTTAACTCAAACACAAGGAAATGGGTTTGTTACAATATAACAGTGAGAAAGCTGGTGTTTGATTGCTATTGATTGTTATGGATTTAACATATTGTGTACAATGTCTCAGGATTATTACTGATGTTGTTGTAACTATCATTGGCATTTTTATAATATATCAAATTGTGTATAGGAGTGTAAGTTGAATTATTAAAGTGTTGATATGGTGTTGATTGAAGTAATATTGTGATAACTATGGTTAGGGTTAGGGTGGGATTACATAAGTTATTCTTCCTCCCACTCCTTTTCGAGCAATGCCTGTGTGGATGATCATTTCTTTCATTTAGTTCAGTTTTGTTTTGTCTGTATGATGTACATGGTTGTTATGTATAATATATACCGGAATTGTTTATATATGTTATCATTTTTAATTTTCTTTTTTCATGTCTCGAAAAAAAACTTAAAAAAAAACTTTATAACGTGGCCTTTTCCCCAAACATCTCCGTTTGAGGAAATGGTAACTTTTATTACTTCTTAAGTTCATTTAATGCTTCAATAAGATGTAGGGTAATTTATTATGTAATTATCATCCATACTATATCCATCACTGCTTAAATATTTGACTGGTGTTTGATGCATCAAAACACAATAATGGAGTTTTGTTAAAGTCGTTTTTGATCCACTAGGGGGCGAAGCAGCTCTGAAGCAGGCTTGTCTCTCTAGATTTCCTGAATTTTGGGGGTGTTCATGACATTTATCAAACTTACCCAAATTATTCTGCAATGATACGAATGCCAACTCCAAAACTCGAATCCAGCTTTGAATAATGAGTTAAAAATGTTCTTTTCATGGCTCATTTTTTCTTACACAAAGAAAAAAAATTCATTTGGTGAAACATTTCCCTCACTAAGCCTCCAGTTTGGTTGCTTTTCTTTTGTTTTTACAAATTCAGGCACATGCAAATGTGCAACTAATGATCAGGTTTTTTGGAAGCATAAAACAGGCAGAGATGCTGACACCAAACACTAAATATTATCTTTTGAATTTTTGACAAAACGTGGAAAGAGGACATGATGTGGACAAATGTCACATTTAGACTCATTTCACAACATCACAGATTACAGACAGCGTGAGTAAATGTAACTAGAGAGGAAAGATCAACGCTAAACACTCTCAAGACAACTGCTTAGTTCACTTTTCTCTGCTTAATTTGATAAGAAGACAAGAAGTTTTATTTACACACATTTGTTTATATGCTTCATGTTTTCTAGCTCGCTTTGGGCGGATCTTTACGAATGCTCTTGAGGTGAATTTACATAATATTCACAAGATTTCATTTATCATAGATCATGGATTTAAAGGGAAATAGTTAATCAAAGTAAAAAAATAACTGCCAGATTTAATCAAAATTCATCCACTTGCAGCAGTAAGCACACAATAAAGTCTGTTGTCCGTGTTTTCGATGTTCCATCATCTAAGTGTTAATTTTCATCTCATCGTCCACGGATGTTTTTGTACTGGCACAGAAGCAGGTGCTTAAAGGTGTTTTTAAAGGTGGCGTTGCAGAGGGCGTAGCAGGCTGGATTGACGGTGCTGTTGATGTAGCAGAGCCAGTAGCCAATCGTCCACAGTGAGTTTGGGATGCAGACAAGGCAGAAAGTGTTGATGAGGACCATCACGTTGTACGGCGTCCATGTGGCTACAAAAGCAACCAGGATGGCCATGATGGTACGTGTCACTTTTCTCTCCCTGGAAGAGTTGCCCCTGCTTTTCCACTTGGCCACGACTCTTTCACTCACAGCTCGCTTCGTCACCTGAAGAGCAAGAGAATGTGGAAGAGTTTTGAAAGAGCAATGGGCTTCTGTACATAATAAAGCTCCAAAGTCCAACAATTTCATCTGTTCAGCAGAAGTGCAACAATAATGCTCATCATTAACGGACAAACAGAATTCTGAGTTTAGATTGGGTCATTTTAGATTTCTCTAAATTATTTTAGTTTGCTGAAAGGTTTTATGTTTTCATCTCAACATCATGTTCCCATCCAGGAAGCACAAAGGTGTGGAGGTGAGCTCATATCTGGTTTCTTCTAAAGTTCAAACTGCATTTGGATGGTGGAGTTTATCCATAATAAACACAATGAAATAAACAAATGCGTGTAGAAATTGCACAACTTTATTGGTTAGTTCCTGGTTAAAATGAGACAAATTGGGTGTGGTTCACTGAAAAACCATTTTAAAAATATTATTTTTGATTATAATCGGTCACTGTGAGTTTTTCATGCAGGCTGAACATGAAAATAGTCTCCTACACCCATCTCCTGAATTAGCTTCTGATGGAAAATAGATGGTGAAACTCTTGGATTTGAAAATTCTGACAGATCTGCATCCCACTGTTACTTAACATTCATGGACTCACCCATCTTGACTCATGACGAGGAAGACTGTTGGTTTAGCGTCCAGGAAATAGCGGAGAACATCTCAACTAGTAGAAGCTAGCTGTTAGCATTAGCAACTCCACCACACAGCAGAACTCCTCCAGGCTTGTGTTATTTGTGGAGATAAAACATCAACGTGGCAGATGAAACTCAGTCAGTGGTAGAGTCATGTTGCTGTTATCCAATCAGAGGCGAAAAGTCCAAATATCAGGAAATATGACCCTAAAACCTACCGAAGATTAGCTGTGATGTGGCAGTCATAGACATGAACACGTAGATGCCCCATTGGGCGCTGGAGAGTCTCACTGCCATATTGGATGGGTCTCCCCACCCTCCAAAGTCAATGCAGAGTGAGCAGCTATGCTTGTTTCTGTGCAGCCTACGGTTACAACAACCGGCGTACTATTGAAAACAGATCATGTGGGATTAATATTGGCTTTTCCAGTTTACCTGATGGGATTTTATATTTTAATTTATTTAGTTAGGGTTAGGGCTATAAATTATATTTATATGTTAAACATCATGCTAAATAATGTGTCTGATTTTGTGAAAAAGCTTGATAAAATGTGTTTTTCAGTTGAGTAAGCCCCTTCTTCAGTAGAAATGCACTGCGGGTGAATGGAGACCCATCCAAGATGGCAGCTGGCCACTACCGCAGCTCCAATAGGCAGTGCCAATGCACGGCGTCTATGTATATATGTCTGTATCCTATATCTTCTAGTTCCTGGGTATTGTGCACCAGTGTTTTTTGCTCCTCCTGAGTACAACGTACAAGGCATTTATCCCCTCTAGAGACCACTGCAATCGTACTGATTAAATGAGTGATCCACACCTTTAATGTTGAAGATATAGACATCTTGCTTTAGCAACCATAGCTAAAACAGAAGCTTTCCCTTTTAATTAATGGATTCTTTAAAAAATATTGCATGTAATAAAATAACTGTTCATGCTCACCAGTAACAGCGTCCATGCAACCATACTTTGTCTGTCGATAGCTGAGTTCTGCGGAGAAGATGGTTGTGTTTTATTTTTCCCACCACTAGAGCTCTTTCGTGATGAAGATGGGGCTTCGGGGTCCTTGGATGTTGACGGGTGGACAATCTCTGGCGTCGAGTCCACCTTCTCCTCCATATAGTTACCACTTCCATTCTGTTGCTGCAACATGTCCCTCTCCTTCTCATCTCCAGCCTCATCCTCAGCTTGTTTAGTCTTTTCACAGTTGTTCTCACACCCTTCCTCCTGGCTGTTAGAGGGGGCCTCTGCCAAGCTGGTACCAGATGTCTTCCTGCTGTCTTTCCTCATGCGGCTACGGCTAGCCTTTGAGATGCGCCAGTAGAGGTAGATCATGATGGCCACCGGCAGGTAGAAAGCTGCAATAGCGGTCCCGAAGGTCACTGCTGGGTTGGAGAAGAACTGAATGTAGCACTCATCTGGTGGAACAGTCCTTTTTCCAACAACAAACTGCCAAAACAAGATGGCGGGAGCCCAGAGGATGAAGGATAAGACCCATGCTGCTGCAATCATCAGTCCAGCCATTTTGGTGCTGCGGCGAGCGGGGTAGCTGAGGGGTTTGGTGACACAGAAGAAACGGTCGAAGCTTATGATGAGGAGGTTCATAACGGAGGCATTGCTGACAACATAGTCAACAGCCAACCACAGGTCACACACCACCGCTCCCAAGGGCCAGTAACCAATCACAATGTAGACAGTGTAGAGGTTCATGGAGCAGATACCAATAATGAGGTCTGCACAGGCCAGGCTGAACAGGAAGTAGTTGTTGACAGTCTGCAGGTTCCTGTTTACCTTTAAAGGAACAACAAGCAGTGGGTTGTCAGATCCTAATCTTTTTTGTGTGCTATGATGTATGCTCTCTCATTTTTATTAGATTACATCTCTGCACAGGGGTGCTCATATTCTTATCTGTGAGTCTGAGTGAGCAGGGATGGATGATTAATTCAGAAAACCCCAAACCTTTATGGAGAGCATGACCAGGATGTTTCCAATGACAGTGATCAGACTCAAGGATCCAGCCACCAGGATGATGAGGACTATCTCCACCGTCGTGTACGGGCTAACGGAGAAGAGGCCTCTGTGATCGCTGCTGGTGATGTTGGTGGTTTGAGAGTCATTCAGGGTCTCCATCCTGTCTGGTGTCGCTCTTTCAGAAGCTTCAGGATCGATTCGTGGCAGCACAATTCCTGGCAATGGCCATAGTGAACGAAATGACTCAAGAATGCTGGAGAAAGGGGTAAAAAGAGTCAGAAGTTAAAAATAACTACTCAAAGGCAGCTGAGGCTGTGTTTCTGGGGCAGGGGGAGTGAGTTAGTGACCTACTGTTCTTTTGTTTGTCTTTGCCGGTTTGGGGGAGGGCTGTGGGGTTCCAGGAAACCAAGGAGTCAGGATCAAACAGGTAAGTCTGGGAAGGTGAAGTGGTGAAGAGCGGGCGAGGCAGGTGAAGATTTACAGGTGAGTTCTCACAAATCCTTTCCACAGAGAATATTTGTTCTTGTCAGGTGAGTTTCCCCAAACGGTTCCCTAATGACACTTGTCTGTGGGAAGCTACAGGTATCAGAAGAGTCGGGAAACAAAGAAAAGGTTAATCTGGTTTAAAGTTTAAAATTTTATAACAATTTAAAAAGTAAACTTGCCTTCTCTCTGCAACAGTGGTTAAATGGTCTGCAAAGCAAAGGAAGAATGAAAAGAAAAAGGGGAATTTGAAAAAGAGAAAAAGAGGGAGAGGAAAAACAGAGGGCCCCTATAGGTCCAGACAAAAACTGTATTTTTACACCAGTTTTTCCCGTTACGATGCTTGTCTTCACAGATCAAGGCAGGTGCTTGAGTCTTTCCAGCCTAGGTGAGCAGAATGAACAGGTGTGAGGTGAAGAAAGGCTGCAGCAGGTGTGTTTGCAGGAGCTTCTCATCCGTGTCAGGAATAATAAATTTTACATTTTGGTTTGGACAGTTCTGGTAAGGCATAATTAAACAAACATGCAACATTTTACATTTAGTTATTATTGCTGAATTCTGTGAAGCTCAATCTTGACTACTAACCAAAGTCCCAGGAGAATGGATATAAAATTATTATTGTCCACCTAAATTTGTTGCATTTTTTAAATTAAGTCAACAGACATTTATGAATGTGTGCATTCATCCGGCTCTCACTGGAGCGGTTCGCCACCAAGTGTGAAGCAGCTGGGATGGGAATCTCTCCTCTAAATCCAAGACCATGGTCTTGAGTCAGAAAAGGGTAGAATGCCTTCTCCAAGTCAGGGATGAGGTCCTGCCCAAAGTGGAGGAGGTTAAGGTTCTCTGGTCTTGTTCACGAGTGAGGGAAAGCTGGAGCACAAGATCGATAGGCGGATTGGTGCTGCATCTGCAGTGAAGTGGGAGTTTGTACCGGTCTGTCGTGGTGAAAAGAGAGCTGAGCCAGAAGATGAAGCTCTCGATTTACGGGTTGAGATATGTTCCTACCCTCACCTATGGTCACGAGCTTTGGGTAGTGACCGAAAGAACCAGATCGCGGACACAAGTTGTTAACATGAATGTTCTCTGCAGGGTGTCTGGGCTCTGGGGTGAGAAGCTCATCTGGGAGGGCTTGGAGTAGACCCGCTGCTCCTCCACATCAAAAGGAGCCATTTGAGGTGACTTGGGCATCTAGTTAGGATGCCTCCTGGACGCCTCCCTGGTGAGGTTTTCTGGGCATGTCCAACTGGGAGGAGACCTAAAGGAAGACCTAGGACACGTTGGAGGGATTATGTCTTTCGGCTGGCCAGGGAACGCCTTGGGATTCCCCCAGAAGGCCTCTTGATTTAGGCTGCTGCCCCCACGACCCAACTCCAAATAAGTGGAAGACAATGGATGGAAGGATTTCTGAATTTTCATTCTCTGGGGCTAGAAAAGATTTATTTGTAGAGTAGCATTTGTATTCAATGACGCTGTGCCTCGTTCTGCGAGTTATGAAAGACATTTTCACAAACAGATTTCCACTGGGGCCACCCACACACTACATCTAGGTATTATGGATAAAAGCATCAACATCATATGGAAACTCTGTGTCTTTTGACTTTCTAATGGACGGCGCTCACCACAATGACCCGAGAACGCATCAACAATCAGTTCTCTGAGGAGCATCATTACAGCTGCTATTTAGTTATAAAACATCAGGAATGGAGTCGCAGCATCACAATGTGATTACCTTTTGGATTCGGATCAGAAAATCAATGCAGGCTGAGGCCATGTGGGTCACTGCTTCTAGCTGAAACTGTAAGTGACTCCATTAAGCCACATGAGATCATACCTGCGAGACATTTTCTTCCTGCTCTTACGATCAGATAAAACTTCATTACAGCGTGTTTAACTCCATCGCCTACTTACCAGAGACCCATTCTGGGACTTTTCTGTCATAGATAAAAGAAGTAGTGTGTGTGTGTGTGTGTGTGTGTATGTGTCTGTGTGTGTATGTGTGTGTGTGTGTGTGTGTGTGTGTGTGTGTGTGTGTGTGTGTGTGTGTGTGTGTGTTTTCCTGTAAGAAGCTCATTCAGACTTTTGGTAAAACCAGTCCAGATTTAATCATTTAAGAATAATTTAAATGATCTAAATTAATTTATGTTTATCAAGTCCCTTTGGGTTATGAGAATGTGTGTTTTGGAGCCTAAAGGCAGCCACATTAAAAAAGCCAATGGGGTGAAACTGTGTCCTTGTTTTACACAAAAATATCCGTTAATGATGGCTCTGGGGAATTAAAATAGTCTGTGTGATTACCTCCTACAAAAAAAGCAGGGGGAGACGAGTTATTTTGTATTAACGTAGCTATAAAGCAAGAATATAGATTTAATTTTAAATCAAACAAATTGTGTTTATGTTTGAAATAGAGATCAAACAATGTGAGAAACACCAACTACAGCTGCAAGAAAAACTACAGGAAACATTTGGTTCAAGTTATAGCTGCCAAAGGGGGCTCAGCAGTTGTTAAATTCAAGGGTTCACAAATGTTTTCCGCCAGCACCGTGAATGTTTACATGGTCTGTTCAATAAAAACAGAGAATATTTGTGTGGTGTTAGGTTAGGTAGACTGTAATTGTCTGTTGTTGTGACTTAGATGAGGATCAGATCACATTTTATGACAAATTTGTGCAGAAATCCATTAAATTCAAATTGTATAGATTGGTTTTGGCTTACCAGAGTAAATTGCCGGTAGGTTTACAAATCTAACTGTTCAAATTTAAATTCTGAGTTTTGGTCAGTATTGAACATTAATGATACAACCTTGCTGTACTTGACAACTTTATGTATGTAAATTTGCTCCACTAACTATTTTCTGAAATGTATGTGAAACAAGTCAAGTCTCAACCACTTCCTATCACTTCTGGAGTCCCCCAGGGCTCTGTCTTAGGATATCTTTCTTTTATATGTTGCTTGTTTTACTTCAATCAAGGATTTTTCAAATTTAATATCAATTCCCGTTGTTATGCAGATGACATCCAGCTGTTCTAACTTTCCATGCACCTTCATTTGTGATTGTGGCCAACAATGTAAACTCTTGGTTCTTTTAAGTATTCTGAATCTCGATAGTTTTAAAACTGAGTTTCTTATTGGCACCAAAAACACCACAACTGGCACAGTTTTCTTATAATTTTCTCGGAAAAATTGCTAGCATCCGGGCTCAGATTTGTTCTCCCTTTGTCACTAGTTGTCCTGAACCCATTCTGCATCGGTCTCTTGATAACTTTGACTTACTTTCTTTGTCCTCTCTTGAGAACCTACTGTCTGCCTTGAAGCCGTCAGGTTGTCCAGTTGACCCTGTCTCTCCACACCTCCTTAAAGAGACATATTCAGTCACTGGCCCCCTTATGCTGAGCATTATTAACAACAGCTTATCCACTGGTGTTGTTCCCCGTGCTTTTATACATGCAGTAGTTCAACCCGTTCTGAAGAAGCCTGGCCTTGACACCTCTATTATGAGTAATTTTCGCCCAATCTCCAAGCTCCCATTTCTATCAAAACTACTAGAGCGTGCTGTTTTTAACCAAATTATTTCTTATCTAGATGATTATGGTTTAATGGATCCCTTCCAGTCAGGCTTCCGATCCCTCCATAGCACTGAGTGAGCTCATCTTGGTGTTTTTAATGACATTTTATTAACCCTTGACTCTGGTTCTAATGTATTGCTGGTTTTGTTGGATCTATCGGCTGCTTTCGACACGGTTGATCACGCTATTCTGCTGACTCGACTGAACAAGCTGGTCGGCATTCAGGTGACTGCCTTAGATTGGTTTAGGTCCTACTTCTGCGACCGCAGTTTTAATGTTATGATGGGTAGTGCAGCCTCCCCCTCTGCAGCTTTGACTTGTGGTGTTCCTCAGGGCTCTATTCTTGGACCCCTTTTATTTCATTTATATATTTTGCCCCTGGGTGACATTTTAAAAAAACACCACATTGACTACCATTTATATGCAGACGATTGCCAATTATATGCCTCTGTGAAGCCTAATGACTCCTTACAGCCCCTTGTTGAATGCTGCAATGATGTGAAGAGCTGGCTGTCAGAAAACTTTCTTTTGCTGAACGACGCCAAGACAGAGGCCATCATTTTCAGCCCTACTACTTCTCAAATTCCCCAACTGACCCTTCCTTTTATCACAAGTGGGTTGAAAACCCGTGTCACAAACTTAGGGGTTGTGATGGATGCTAAACTAAAAATGGACATTCATGTCAACCAGGTAGTTAAGACCTGTTATTACCACCTGAGGCGTCTCTCTAAAGTTAAGCCAATTTTAAAAAGGCGTCATCTCCATACAGTTGTCCATGCGTTTATTACTTCCCATCTAGACTATTCTAATTCAGTGCTCTTTGGTATCTCCTCCTCCACTCTCACTCGACTACAGCTTGTGCAGAATGCAGCAGCTCGTTTCTTGACTGGCACCAGGCAGCGAGAACACATCACACTGGTTTTAGCAAATCTCCATTGGCTCCCCATCCATCTCCGGATAGAGTTTAAGATCCTGGTTTTTGTGTTTAAATCCCTCAATAACTTAGCACCTGGCTACTTGTCTGAGCTCATTCACCCTTATGTCCCTACAAGATCCCTCCGATCAGCCAACCAGCACCTCCTACATGTCCCTAGCTCTCGCTGTAAATCCCGCGGGGAGCACGCCTTTTCAGTTTGTGCACCGAAGCTGTGGAACCACTTGCCCCTCCTGATCAGACTCTCTTCCTCGCTTTCCCTTTTTAAGTCTCGTTTAAAAACTCACTTTTATTCATTGGCTTTTAATTCAGTTTAACTTCTTCCCTTTCTCCCTTTCTTTTTGAGTTGGATTACTCGATTTTAATGGTTTTAGTTTTTATTTTTGATTGTTTTTGTTCAGCACTTTGGTCGGCTCTCATGCCGTGTTTAAATGTGCTATATAAATAAAATTGGTATGGTATGGTATGGTATAATGCTCTCCATAGCATTTCCTCCCATCCAGCTGACTGGATCTCATGCTTAACAGGCTTCTTTCATAACACAGTTCATTCTTATTTTGCCACATCATCCGTTACAAGATAGCACTGCTGCTCTGGTCCACACCCTGGTCACTTCATTACTGTAATGACATTTTCTTTGTTCTCCTACAAAAGTCAATTAAAAAAGTCTTCAGATGGTTCAGTACTCTGCTGCCTGTTTCTACATTACCATCATCCTTCAGCAGCTTCTCTGGTAACCTGGCAAATGCAGCGTAGATAATAAGATCCTGCATCTCCCTTTTCATTATCTATTGTGCATGCCATTATTTCATAATGCTTCACTTTTATCGTTGTACATCTATTCTACATATTGTCTTGAGTTTATATGGAAGGCAGTAAAAATGTATCAACTATTGCTGTTTAGAAAATTAAATGACGCCCAAAGTAAAGCCAGTTGAGGTAGATAAATGGCTCTTTTCACCTATAAAGGTCCCTAACTGTGTAAAACAACATAAATGATTGCATCTAAAGGGCAGACACGATACGAGTTGATTAAATTAGATAGTTGGTAAAGAAAAGAGCTTCAATTATTTCCCTTTTATTGATCTCCTTTAGCATGAGATGCACCAGAATGTCCTTTATGAGCTGAAGGAAAATGACAAAATCTAACAATTCTGTTGCATTAAAGGCCAAACAAGGAAATAAATTATTTTAATTAAAACTAAGAAAAGGCACAAAATTGTTTGACGCGATGCAACATAAGACACCCACAAAATCAACCTAAAATAATCAACCAGCAAATCAACCAACTGAACCCACTTCTATAAAGATTAATGCCCTCCTATTGAATTCACGCTTGTTTTGGGTTGTAGATTGGATGACCTCCCACAGTAAATAGGAAAATGGCACTCTACTCCCAAAGCACTTTATATTGCAAGTCCCATTCACCAGGGTTTAGTGTCTTGCCCAACGATATGTTGACATTGATGGGAAAGTCTGGACGGAAATTAAAACCTCCTGATTGGTAGATGACCACTCTGCTGACTCAGTAGCATCAGGAAAATTCATACGCATCCACCTCCTCATGCTGGTTACAAGCCTGGTGCCATTTTGCTGTGGAATACAATCCCATTTATCTACAAGGAGCTTCTACAGGTCAACAAGTGAGGTGGTGTTGGTCTCAGCATGCCTAAGCTGCCCAAGCCCTGTCAGGTGTGTACCAGTAGTACGCACCTGAGACTGGAACACTTGGAGCTCAAAACGAGAGTGGGTCCAAACATTCACCATCACTTCATTCATTGGTGGTTTAAGGATAGCAGTGAGCAGAGGCAATCTCATGGTGCCATATTGTGCTAAATTCCACCAATCTCTAAAATGCAAAAAGGACCTTCGTGACCTTGATGTGATCCTACACCCACATTTAACCCTGACTCAAGCGTAACTTTAAAAACATCTGTCATAAAATATTTTAATGATTTACATGAAGTAAGTGTGCCATGTGGTGAATGTGTTGGCTAGTAAAGCACCTGTTAACTTTTAGAAGCTAGTGTGAAGGCAAATTAAATGTAGCATCTAAACTTTTATTGGTTCTCTTTAATTGCAGCTTCCAGGGTTTGTTTATCTGCCTCTCCTTGGTTTATTGCTCATTTTCTGCAAATATAGTTTTACAAAGATATTATAAAAGAGACAATAAACTTAAGAAGTAAACAAAAATCATCATACAAAGTAAAATATCACATTTTTTTGTTTCCTTGTCTTTTAAAGTGTTCTAGGACAGGAAATTGATGCTTTGCTCAAAATCTTGTCTGCACATTTCTCCTTATTCACCACAATAATCAAACCTGATTACAGGACCTCCCTAATTGATATGCAGGGCTACTGGAGAGAGTCACACAGGCAACCAGGATTTCTTTGACATGGACAGAAACATAGTAATTAGATCCAGCAGATACCGTCTGCAACAGCTGTACCGGTAATAGGCCTCTAGGATATAGGAGCACTC